TATTTTATTCAGGGAGCATTAGTGCCAAATATGAATGGATCGAAATATGTGAGAGTAACTAAGAATTTATGAAGTTTGGAAGACTCGTTTCACTCACGTCAAGCGTGCAATAAAACTATTCTCGTCTCTAACAAAAGCCTTCGTAGATCTTGAAAACTAAAAAGTGAATAATGACGATAATGGTTATTGGATATTTTTTTTCGTATTTTAAAAGAAAATGTAGTAAGTTAAAACGTTAAGATTTCATAGATACAATGTTGTATTTTATTAGAAAAAAATCATTTCTGAAAACAATTAAAATTAATGAAAAATAATACACATAAATGAATAAAATATGTAAACTAAAATCGATTGAAAAATTCGACTAACTGGCTAGGCCTATAAGTGTGTAGGTACGTAACTATTTTATCACGACCTAAATATTTATTTATTTAAATGTCCATTTGTATTCAGGGATAATTACATAGAAATATATCCTAGAATTTCATGATTTATTAACCTCTCATGTGTACACCTTTATATTATTAGTTAAGTTATATAAAAATAAAGTTGGAAAAATATATTTAATAAGTATAAATATATTATACCACAGGGAGGGGATGGGCACCCCTGCATCTATGTTATAAAGGTTGTCCTCCTTCCTTTCATGTTTGATGTGTAAAAATTGTAATAAATCGAATTGTTTTGTTCAGATTTTTTCAAGTATATTTATAAGCACATAAAAAAAAAAAATCTACAACTTCCAAAGAAATATATACGTTTCACAATGATTATGTAGAATTTTTACAAATAACATGAACTACTGCCATATTTAGTTTTTTCTGGTCCTTCGCCCCCTCAATCGAAATAGAAATTCTGCGCTATGGATGGCCATACACAATATTTTATGAATGGTGTTCTTCATAACCTTCACCATGAGGTAATTCAGGCGTTATAAATTATTAAATTGTAGCTCTGATTTGGCTAAGGTGAACAGACGTCCTGCTTTTTAACAATCGACAATTTAACAATAAACGTTCCGATTTTCGGAAAGAATGGACAAGCTAGGGAACGGTAAGAGAATATAAGGTTTTCGATGGCTATTTAGCTATTTAGCCAGGATCTGGATTTCATATTATTTTTGTTGATTTTATAACGTTAAACTTTAATAATAAGGAATAATTGCTAAGCACTGATTATAAAGAACTGCTTAGCAAAGTTAGCTTAGTTGATCAGTTACAATTCGACCACCATTGTTTGAACTTAATGATAATAAACAACCCAAAAATAATATTTTTAATGAGGTATCGTTATTTAAAAAATATATTGATAAGGAAAAGGTTAAATCTTGAGCATCAGCAAATTAACTTCATCTACTATTTTGATTACCAAAATGTAGGGGTCTATGACAGCATTAAAAGGGAACAACTCTATAATGCGTCGGATGAATTGCAGTTCCCTAAAAAACTAATCCGCCTAGCTCGACTCACAATGAACATGGTGGAATGTACAGTGAGAATCCAGGCTAGGGTGTCAGATGAGTTCTGTACAAGAAAAGAGGTAAGGCAGGGAGACTCCTATTCAATGTGGCACTTGAAAAAGTTGTCAGAGATACATGAATACAGCTGGATGGAACCATCTTTAGCAAGTCTATACATATCCTGGCATATGCTATGACATATTGATATCATCGGAAGATCACTTCGTGTAAAGCAGGCTTTTCTAGCTCTCGAACAGTCTCCGCGGAAGGTGGGACTATCTATAAATGAGAGCAAAACCAAGTAAATGGTTGCTGGCATAAATGCACCACATCCACAAATCTCGATAGGTGACTACAAAATCGAAACGGTCCAACGATTTGTTTATCTTGGTTCCCAAGTAAATTCCGACAATGATGTATCAGAGGAAATATGTAAGAGGATCCTGGTGGCAAATAAATGTTATTCTGGCCTGCAGTGGTATCTAAGCAATCGCTTAATTTCCAGGAAAACAAAAGCGACTCTGTACAAGATGCTGATTCATCTTGTCCTCACATATGGAGCGGAAACGTGGAGCTTACAGGCTATTGATCTTTGAAAGAAAATTACTATGTTGCATTTATGGACCAGTACGCTCAGGTCCAGGTAACGATTGGAGAAGGCGGAGTAATGCAGAACTGGCCGCCATACATAATGATACGGATGCAGTTCGGTTCATTAGAATACAGTGTTTGAAATGGGCGGGTCATTTAGCCAGAATGGATGAGAATAGCCCAACCAGCAAAATTATGCTGACATGTCTAGAAAGAAAAAGAAGAGTTGGAAGACCTAGATTGTGGTGGATGGATGGGTCGACGCAGATGGTAGAGCTCTTCTTGGACTAGCTAACTGGAGGAAAGCAGCAAGAGTGAGAGACCAGTGGTTGAAACTGGTTGAGGAGGCCAAGACTCAGGGATAAGTTGTAGTGCCCATGAAGAAGAAGATGAGAGACAATGCAAATCTCCTAATTCCATTTTAGTAATCTTTGCAATGAACAATAACAGTTTAATAACTAACAGTTGTGCAATCCATAATCAAGGGATTCTAGAATCCACAATCAAAGGATCTTACAACCCATAATCAACAGGTGATATAATAAATAGGACTTTTGTAATTTTAATGGTATTTATGATTTGTTAGTTGTAAGATTTTAGCTTTAGCTTGGTTAAAAATACAATTCAAAAAATTTATAATAGCCCAACAAGGTCAGAAAATAATTTCTATTCAAAGTTGAGCGATAAGTGAAAGTTGTGTGTTGTGTGCACCAGATTTTTTAAATTAAAAAGCAAGTTAAATTTATTTTTAGTTTGCTTTAAATACGAATTTTTATAGAGAATATAAAACATATGAGTTTTAGTAGGTTGATTTTTTTGGAGGTTTTACAAAAAAATATCTGATGCAGTGTGCACACTATGCAACTATCACTAACCATCATACTTAAATAATTACATTTCTAATAAAATGGGGTTAACATTTTTTAAAAATATTTTTTGTAATTTCGAACACTTTTTAAGGGCTAAAATGACTCATGTTGTTGCAGAACTAAAAGATTTGTGGGAGCAAGCCCTAAATGGTAAAGACCTCTATATGGTAAACAAGGCAATATCAATAGACAGTACCATGAAAAACAGAGGTTCAAATGCTAATCTGAGAGCCATTAATTAATAAGCGACATAAAAGCACTTTACGTTACACTACGATAGACTACTTTGATCACCACAGGTTATAGCTGAAGCAACACTTCAAAAAGCTCTTGATGATAGTGATATTGAATATTAACAACTTGTATAGCGAAATATTAGTTTAAAAAAAAAGAAAAATATAGATAAATTAATGTTATATCGTAGACTGAAGTATTTACCACTTGCGTTTTAAGGAATGTTGTTTAGTTTATGTTATTGAATAATGTGAAGTGTTGTGTAACATCTTGAACATCACATCATATAATTAAATTAATATAACAAATATTAAGGAGAACAAAAACAGAGCAATTAGACGTAATAATAATTTCAATAGCAATCAACATAAGACTATTTAATTATCAATGATGAGTAGATAAAATATTATTCAAATTAAAAATACAATTAATAAGATACAAATGAATGTTTATTTAATTAAATTATTAAGTCGGATGACATAATTTTGTAATATGGTTTAATTAGGATAAGGGTAATTAAGAACAAGTATCAAACCTTATCTTTTTTCTTTTATTGCACTTGAAATATTAATCCAGTAGCCTAATTACCTAATATCCTAAAATCCTGATCTAATAAACAATAGACCCAATTATATTAAATAAATATTAATTACCATTATAGCTACGAAACAATTAAAATGCCAATTTCTAGACTTCTATGGTTTGAATGTCAGAAGGAAACCAATACCAAGAAGGATACCAAGTTATCTTTTAAAATTGAAAGGTATTTATAATGTTGAATATAAAAAAAAATGTTTAAGCCTTCGAAAACTATAATAATTGCAGAGTTAATGTCCATTTAAAATAAATTAGATCAATTTTAATGGTTATTTTTTTAAGAGGCCAAATATTAAATACATCTTTTTTTATTGAATACAAGGCCATTTTATCACCAATTGTTTTAGTTTAGTTTATAACTTTAAAAGATTATGTTTAAGCCACTACTAGAGCCATTTTTAAGTCTTATTCTGTACTTCCTTGACAATCCTCTTGTCAACATCATAACATATGTTTTAGTAAAGAACAAAGACATCAAGTTGAGTCTCTACATCAATTGCTTCTTTGTGAAAAAAATAAATAATAATAACACCCATAAATATGAAAAATGGATAAAAGTAAAAAAATTAAATATCATCGGTTTATTGCAAAAAGTCATTAAGTGAAATTTCATAACCATAAATCGTTATGAAATTTGATGAGCGCTTGTGGTAACTATATGAAATATATAAAAGAGTTTGTGTAATTTTATTGCACCTACTATATTTTTAAATAAGGTCAAAATTGTCAAAATTAAACGTTCAACTCTCTCAAAAATATAACTAGTGATTTTTGCATTGAAATCACGAATTATCTTCTAGCATGATTTCTTAACTCATTTCAATGGAATACAAAAAAAAAAATATTAAAAACAAATAAAAAGTTTAAATAACTAATATAATGTAAATTTTTGATAATTTAATCATATTAAAATTATTTGAGCTGTATTTTGAACAAAATTGGATAAAAATAAAGTATATTTTAAGTAAACAAACTGAAAATGTAACACTAAAGAATTTCCAACAAAGGGACCAAAATGTTTATAAATGTATTATTTAATTGATACTGTTAACATTAAATCTTTAAATTGATGTGATTTCTGAATTAATACTTTTGAATAAGTTATAAGCACTAATAATAAACAAACTATATTTCCCTAAAACAAAAACTATCACCAACTAAATTTGATTTAAATCAAGCAAATAACTATGGTCATAAAACTTTATTGATGAGATTTTTTATTATAAATAAAGAAAGTAGAAAAAACTTACGTCATACGACGTTCTATCGTCAATCCACCTTTTTCAGATGGGAAATGTGAATCCATGCTTCTTTACCGAGTTGATACCTATAAGAGAAAAAATATTACCTAAAATCTAGAGGTAATGAAAAAAGTAGACTGAATCCTTCAGAGTAAATACTTGTATAATGAATAATCCCTAGTATAACATTTATTTTATCACTCAGATATTATCAATAGCATTCCTAAGAAAGAAGATCGATATATGATATATCATTCAAAATTTACATGTGTATGTTTTACAAATTAGTTTACTGCCACAGCTATTATTATTATTTTGAAGAACTAAACCTAACTGTGGTTGTCATTAATAGAAATAATTGTAATATTAGGATTTAAAGTAATTTATGAAGATAAATTTGTATTTAATTTAAATAAAAGAAAAAATGAATAAATAAGTACATTTAATTTTTTAACACAATTATAACAATAATACTTTAATTGTTCAGTAAAAAGCAATACAGAAATCAATATATACAATAGGCAAGATTTTTTAAAATCAAAATTAAATACCATAAAATAACAGCAATCAATAAAAAATAAAAAATAATCTAAATAGATTATAAGCATAGAGGAGACTAACAATCTAGCCAGTGGCAGTTCCTGAAATGAAATGAGGAGCTAAAATATCAACATACCTTTGTGAAAGAGCTTTTTATGACAAACCAATTGAATACTGATAAATTATGATAACTAATATAGGTAGTAGACTAACAAATTATCATTACTTGTTCAAATTATCAAAGTCTCAATGACTTGAGACACATAAGGTACTAAAGGAACAGAAAAAAAAAAAAAAAAGAGCACATAAATTTCAAAGCAATTATTTCACAAAGCAATCAAATCTTTATGTATACATAAAACATAAAAATAATTAGAATAGCGATAAATTAAATGGCATTCTTCCATTTTTAAAACTATTTTGTTTTCTCATTGAGTCAGTAAACTAAAACAATTTTAAAAAATAAATAAATTATTTTGAAAATAAAATGTCTTAGTGAATATTCTAAAAAACGAAATCTCTAAAATTTGATTTTAACAATAAAGATTTTACAAACAAAACCCTTGTAGTTAAAAAGTCGAAATTTTTACATGAATGGTTATAAGTGTTTTTGAATCTAAATGTAAACAAACAAAGTAATAAGCTATTTTTAACCAAAATTATTAGTTTTTAATATTTTGAACTAGACGACAGAAATATAATTTGTGAGTAGCTATGAATGTTATTATAAATGACAATAATTGTACATAAATATTGTTTTTTCTAAATTAGTAAATATTGTTTAGTTAAATTAATAAAACCGGTGCTTATAGAAGTTCAGACTTCAAGTTTTTAGTATCTGCAAAACTAAATACTTAAAAAAAAATATATATATATATATATATATAATTAATGGATTGAAAAAATAGATCAAGAGGAAAAAAACAGAATACAGAGAATGAAAAAAACAAAAGTTTAGATTCAAAGGGGCTTAACACAAACAATAGAAGACAACGAAATATATTTGTAATTGGTGTGCAGAGTAATTTGATTTCATTAAGGAATAGTGTATATAAATACACCTTCATTGAGGTCAGTGTAGCCGAGAGGTATTATTGATTTCTACTATTGATTTGCTTAGGAAGAATTACACAAACACATTTGTGAGTTTTTCTTGATGAAATTTCTTCAGTAAAAAAAAAAAATATATATACTAATTATCTTCTCTTTTCAAGGCTTCATCGCAATTTTTCTAATTTGATAAATATAAATTAGCATCAAAAATTACTATTTCACTTATAATCAAAAAACTATTTTATTAAAAACATGTTATGTATTAATTTACCTTTATACTTGTGTTTTTCTTGTCATTAATTCATAAAATTCCATTTTCTCTCAACGGATAATATCCATAATTTATTTTGTACTTTCGCAATACATTTAAATGTCTTAAATTTAACTTAACTAAATTAACTAAAATTTATATTGGTTGTGGAGAGTATACTCTGCATTAATTCATTATCACACTACTTCTATTTGTCAGGGATTGGGCTTTGTTCTAATCTTATTTTGATTTTTATCCCCTCTCCCGCTATTTATATATATATATGTATAAATTTAATTCTGATCCCTGACAAATAAATGTAGTGTGACAATGAAATAATACAGAATACAATCTACGTATCCAATATAAATTTTAATAAAAACATTTAAGTAAATTAAAAAATAAATTATGAATACTATACGATCAGGGAGAATGGAATTTTATGAATTAATGATACGAATAACACAACTACAAAGGTAAATTAATATATAAAATCTTTCTCATAAAAACATTTTTTGATCATAGGTGAAATACTTATTTATTATTGATTCTAATTGTAACTGTTTTCAAATGAATAAATTATACTGAATTTGGGTTTAAAGGCCCAAAACGTTGATGAACGTGAATTAGGCAATATCGAGTGATCATTTTGATAACATTATTAAAATAAAACCTTAAAACCAAATTAATATATTTATGACAAGTAAAAGTACTAAAGCCTAACAACAATATTTTAATTTTTCAGTTAATTAAATAAAACATTTCAATCAAATATAGAGAAAAAAAGTTTGAAATGGGACTGTAAATATTGAAAAAAAATAAATAAAAATGAATTATTTATGTTATTCTATGATGAGTATTTTAAGTTGAATTTGGCCTATTTTAAATATCAAAATAATGGATATAAACCAATTTATTTAATTTTTAATTACACTTCTTACAATTGCATATATCCATCCTCAAACAAGCAATTAAAAATTTAAACAGTGACAGCATTGAGAAAATGAAAAAAATAAATTGTGATAACTGATACTGATTTAAATCTTACCTCAATATAACACATATATATATATAAATTATCAGCAATAAATATTTTAATTCCTTCTTAAACTTTTATATGCATTTCTGTTTGAGAAGGGAAAGGATAGAGTTGACTTATACAATTTCCTGTGGTAAGTATATTAGCATTGAACTTTCCAAACTAGTTTACCTTGATTATTTCCCCAATTAGGTCCTGATTGTTATCCTTTCACAATAGTGCAACTTTTTGTAACATTGAGGACCTACGAACATTATAATAACTATCAATAAAAACTGTGTACATTAAAATTGTATAATTGAAGAATTGGATATATATATATATATATATATATATATATATATCTTTACTATTGCTATAAGGAGACAAATATATAATTATGTATGATTCTATAATTAGTGGTTTTTTTTGTTTTGTTTTTTCTAAAGAAGAAACAAAATGCACAGGTTCAAAAACTGCTTTGGTATTTTCAAAAGGAAACATGGCATAACAGATAAATGACTAAAAACCTTAGGGACAGCCTTTTTTCAGGTTTCCATAGATTATCAATCTGATGTTTTCATTTGGATTACCATTTTTTGGCAGGTGAGTTCACAACACAAATATAAAATGATTGTCATCAATAGATATGTCTTTTAATAGTTATCATATACTACATGAAGTGCCTTTCAGAGATATCCATCCAGACAGATTACAAATAGAATTCTGAATTTTCATTTTGATAATGAATGATTAGAGATATTTTGTGAGCATAAATGGTTTAAAATAAAAAGGGGCCACACTCTACAAAGGCTTTTTTTTTTTCATTATTACAATTTTTGGCAGAAGGCTGGGGCTGAAGCCTCTCGCAAAATGGTAAAATATAATCATGTATTATAAAAAAAATTAATAATTACCTCTAAAAGTATTATTGTTCATGTAATTACAGTTAATAGTACTTAAAGAATCATTTAAACTCTATTTCATATATGAAGTTAGTTTATTTATTATTCTTCCTAAGTAAATATCGTTATATATTTAAAAAATAATCTTTCAGGCTGAAGCCCCCCTCCCCAAAAACTAAATCCTGGATCCGCTAGTGTCTAGAGAGGTAAAACAGGATAAGCATGAGTTAGTTTTAACTAAAACCAGGACAACAGATCCATGATTACATGTCAAAATTAATATTTGTTTCTTAAAAAATTCAATTTATGATATTAATGTCTTAAATAGAAAATATTTTCCATTTAATTGACTACTTAAACATAAAATTCAAAACTTTATGTCAATCAAATTATTAATAAAGTAAATAAAAATTAAATATGAAAAAAATTAATACTCTCGGCACACAATAATTTCTTATTGTGGCTTAATATTAAACAAAATATTTATCTATATTTTAAAAAAAAAAATCATGTAGATATCTCACCTCTATGTATTTTTTTTTTCATTGCGCTGTTGGTTGGTCCTCTCTTTACTGTAACAGCAATTCAAATCTTCCCTGCTGATTTAAAAAGCTGTTAAATTTCTCATTAGAATAGATAATTATTAATGAATACTGTTGCAGTTCCCTGCTCTGCAACAGGATTCATTATAATGGAATGTGTATTAATGGTAGTGTCAGGTACATAATCAGTCATCAGACTTTATCACAAATCATTTTCTTTGAATTCTCTACAGTATGAAAACATGTAGTAAAGGTCATGGTTTTGTTAATATGTCATGTATTGGAATTAGATAGTCAAGTTAGTGTGTTTGATAGTCGTTTAGCCAGAGAGCAGTTCTTGTATTGTATCCCACGTGATGAAATGTCAACACATGGGGCACTAACAAAGACAAATGCTCTCTGCCCGGGAGGCACTACGAGGAAGCGACCATCACCACCTCCCAAAATTAGTTTGAGTTAATATAAAAGCTTAGTGAATAGAACTAAATAAATCTTATTTTAATAAGATGATAAGTGAATAAAAAAAAGTTTATGTAAGACAGTAACTTTATTTGCATAATTAACTTATGGAACAGTAAAGTAACTAACCCTTAAGCATCAAACTATCACACTCTACATTTAGTTAATTTCTAAGTTAGCTGGGAGTAGGAGAATTTAAATTATATTTTATTAAAGTTTGATAGAATTTCAACAGAATCTAAGCACAATTTATTGACATGTTAAAAGTTTTAATTCAGAGCGCAATGTTTGTAGCTTACATAAGAGGAATCAAGTATAAGATGACTAAGCTCATGCAACTACAACTTAGAAGCTTCCTAAAAAAGATCTTTTCTTAGTAGCCAATAAACTTTCATTAAGTTTAAAAATCAAAATGAGTAGTTAAAAAACTTACTAATTAAAAATTTCTTAGGTTCTACACTAATGAAAATGAGATTTATTTCTTACTACTTACAGAAATAAATTCAGAACATAGAAATAAAAATAAATATAAGTAAATATCCCAAATGAAAGAGTTAATGAGACCAAAGAAAATAAAATCACCAAGTTGGTTAAATATTATCATATAGAAGGTATTTAGAAAAACAAAACAAGCACAGAGAGCTTTGCTTCTCAAAAACTTTCCTCTATAAAAACATGTTTATTTCCTGTTTTTTTTTTTTTTTTTAAATGTATAGGACAAATTATTGTGAAAAATGAACATATTACAAAATATAAGAAAACAGCTTCAGTCAAAGCTGATTTTAAGGTGTCTATGCAAAAATAAACATGGGTCTACTTATTAATACAGATAAATGCCTGGAAAAGTTTTACATTGGTTGGTCAGTATCTAACTGATATGCTTATAAGGTGAGAATAATTCCCTGGTTTTTAGAAACTACAAACTGGAAAATGATATGACACATTACTTGACTTGTAGCTGTAAAATCATTACTCCAATCTATCACTGACAATTTAGAAGATGACGAATTAAGGTTTTGTGAAATCAGTAAATCCAAAAGCTCTGTTGATGCTCACAAGAATAACAACACAAGGCATGCAATCAGAAAGGAAACCTATTTTATAATAAATATATATAAATGGATCTTACATGAGTGTAAGTAAGCTGATAAAAAAAAGGTAATGAAGCAAAAAGAAGCCATTTTCATATCATATTGTACATGTTTATTTGATTAAAAATAATTACATCATTAAACATAATATAATATCAACATCGTAAAATATTAAGCCATAAATTAATTATTTATATTAGATAATACATATAAATTTTAGCATATCAGAAGTAAAAATAATATACAATAAAAATAACAACGGTAACTCATATATCACTATTCAGAATGACCGACAATAGACAAATCTCACTTAAAAGTACACTACGTTAACTCAGGGAATGTTAACGAAGTGTCATTTCTTCACTGAAAAAGGTTTTTTGCATAGTACCATATTCTGAAGAAATATTCACTTCTGCGGAGGAGTGATGACCTTGAATAAGAATAGATATCTGCATCCATACCAGCTTCTCTCATCCATGACTGGGTGGTTGTTGTTGTAAACGATAAAGATGGTGTTTCTTTATCAAAGCCTAATTCTTCTAAGTCAGTATCCTCTGCTTCCACTGTGGACAGTTAAGCAAATTGTAAACATTGAATTCTGTGGAAAACATTAATCTAATAAAGCATAAAATGTTTCATTAATGCATACCTAGTTGAAGATGTACAATGTTAGGCAAACACCAAATTAAATATGTATAATTGGTTTATAAAATAAACATTTATTATGAAATAAATAATTAAAAATAGTTTACCTGTCGGCCTCTGAACTCTGAAAGGTTCATCAGACTCGAGTGGTTTGCTAAACCCAACTTCATTTCGAGCGAAAATTCGTATTAAGTATTCGTGATTTTCCTAAAATGAAAATAAAATAATGTATAAAAATAATTTATAAAACTTACAACAGGTCATATTTAGTGGGTCACTGGTTACAACCAAATTTTGGTTGATGGTTCAACATCGATAAATATGAGACACATGTCCCAGCGATTGTTCCAATAGCCTACATTACAAAAACCTTCTTTTGATTTTTGTGATTTATTTTACACTGTAACTCATTTAATACAATAAGCAATATCTTTTTCTTATTCTGCCTAAAAAATAAAATTGATTGGCATATAACAACTTAGAAATCTGAAGAAAACAAAAGGTCAACAAAATTTACATAATTTTTTGATAAATTATATAAAATTTATTTTACACCAAAAATTTATATACCTACTCATAAGAACCACTACTGGGACATTTGTTTAATATTTTTTGGTTGAAAAATAAAATAAAAAATTGGTTGAAATTCGTCACCTTTTATCCTTTGAACTAAAAAGCTGTAAGTATAAAATAGGATAGGCAACCGTAGTTAGCTAAAATAATAAAAAAACATAATAACATGTTGACATAATAATATTAACAAATGATATTGATCATGGATGAAAAAAAAAAATGAAAAAAGACTAAAAGCCAGAATGAATAAATATTTCTGGGTATCTCTCTTTCTTAAATACAAAAAATAATAATATGTAATACCTTTTTCAAGTACAACCATTGAAGTGAGTAATATTTTAAAATGAAAGAAAAGAATCAAATGAGAGATTTACAAAGTTTAGGATTTCATTACTAGCTTAAAAATGAATAAAGAGAAATATTGATAAAAGTTAAGTATTATTATAAAAAAAGGATATCAAAAAGATTACCTGTAGGTCCTTGACGGTTAGCCTTTGCACGTCAGCAGAAACCCGTCCTACTTCCATCCACATAGTTTTCTTAACATCCCTCACGGCTACCTTATAACCTTCAAGAGGAGCGCCACCATCTGATTCAGGAACACCCCATGCTAAGAACACAGAAGTAGCTCCTGTTGATCTCACTTCGAGTGGAGCCGTTGGTGGAGATGGAACAGCTATTAAGAGTAAAATTACATGTAATTAATATGTCTCAACAAAACCGATGTAGTTTTTAATCTAACATACATTACTTTCATCATCAAAAACTGAATTAAGCATGTCCTATTGAATATTAAGAACATAAATGAACGAATATGTTGCATTAGGATAAGAGGAAAATTCAATAATATATCCCTGATCAGCGCACACACTCCGACAGATGACAAAGACGAAGAAGAAAAAGATTTGTTTTATGGAACACTAGAAGCAGCATATGATGACCTATCCAAGTATGATGCAAACATTTTACTGGGTGATTTCAATGCCAAAATTAGAAAGGAAAGTGCTTTTATTCCTACTATTGAAAAATATAGCAAGCATGAAATAACAAGCGAAAATGGAATCAGACTGATTTTGCAACAGCTAGTTGACTTAGAATAAGTAGTACATGATTTCCACATAAAGAGATCCACAAAGAAACTTGGATGGGTACAATAGAAATCAAATCGATCATGTCTTAATAGATGAAAGGCACAAACCATATATATTAGACGTCCGTAGTTTTAGAGAGGCGGATTGTAACACGGATCATTTCTTGGTAGGAACTAAATACAAACAGAGGATATCTAACGAGTGCAAAAACAGAGGAGAGACCAGGAGAGTGTTGAACATGGATGGCCTAAAGAACGAGAGAATGAAAGAGACGTTTGAAAGAAAGGTCATTCAAAGATTAAATGAGAGCAATGTAGAAGAGCATACAGTTGAAGAGCGATGATGGAGAATAAGAACGGTGATGAACAAGCTATTGGAGAGAGGAATGACGCGAGAGCCAAATATTTGAAGAGGACAACTAGAGCGACAATGGAAAATTATACAATAAAAAGAAAAAGAGTCAAAGAAATTGGTCGAAAGAAAAAGAAGGCTTGGGAAAGCAAAATCATAAAAGATATGCAAGAGCAGTATGCAGCAAAAGAAACCAGGAAATTTTACAAAGGAGTAAGAAATGCAAAGACCTGTTTCAAACCGCATCTAGACTATTGTAAAGATAAAAGAGGAAACTTGCTGGGATCGAGAAAAGACATATTAAATAGATGGACGGAATACTTTTCTGAATTATCAAATCAAGGAAACAGAACTGGGTAGTAAAGAGGAAACGCATAGAAACTCCCAGAGAGGAAAATAAGACATAAATAAGAACATAATATTAATACATTGTATTGTATGATAGGAAGGCCCCTATTTAACTTGTTAATAAAGAATGTTATACTTCAAAACAGTCTTTTTAATTCTTTATTTTATAACTTCAAAAGCTTTCAGTGCCAAGCACCACTTTCATCTTATAATTTTATATTCATTTATTTGGATATCATTATCTTATCAATCATATATTGTTGTAATAACATTTGAGACTGATAATGGTGAAAGGACTTTTTTTCAGTTGTACTCTACAGAGATACTGTACATGATGTTTTGAAGATTAACAATCTTCATTAACAAATTGTTGATTCGATGTTGAAGATTACTATCACTGCTTATTAGTAGATTGATATTAAATTAATATTAGTTAATTTTTTATCATGTTATATATAAATAAATAATTGAATAAAAAATCATTAAAACTTACTTGCATGTGTCTTCAGGCTTACAAGACTAGTTGTGGTTGGAAAACTAAGGCCTATACCGTTTTCAGCAAACACCCTAAAGTAAAATTCTGATTTTTCCTTAAGATTTTCAACTGTATAATTTGTAACAGTTGCATCCAATGTAACCACTTTTGTCCATAAATTACTCATCACAGCCTGTTTTTCAATCACATAGCCTATGGGGAAGAGAAACAAGAAAAAAACTGAGAATGATTCAATTTTAAATCACTATGGTTTTATATTTGATAAATTTTTCTATTATAAATTATAAGAAAAATAAATGTTCACATCCATAAAACAAAATGTAATATCCTTCATCCTGACATATAATAATAAATTAAATGTTTTAATTGAATTAATTAATTAATTTAATTATACAACCCTAATAAACTTAAATTGTTCATGAAACTTATCAGATGTTAAAAAATATTAATTCCTGGTTTAAAAAAAGAAAACATGAAAGACTCACCTGTTAATTCTGAACCTCCATTTGATAAAGGAGGCTCCCAAGTAAGTGTAACACTCTTACTGGCAATATTTGTTACTTGTACATTTTCTGGTGGTGAAGGAGGTGCTAAATTTAAAGAAAAAACAATTATAATTATTTTATTTAAGGATATATTAAAATAAATACCACTTTACAAAGTATACCAAAGATAGTTCATTGATTAAGAAAATTAAATAATTTATATGCAAATAAATAATATATATGTATTATGTTATGAGTCTTTCAGCTGAAAGAATGACAAGTCCAGTTTCAACATTTTTTATTATTAATTAGTAATATTTCTAGTGAGAAAATTTATATCTTTATTTACAGTTATATATTTCAAGACTGCAATCACCTACTCTGAAATAAACCCACTCACTGTCTGTACAGATATTATGAATTTTCTAACTAGAAATATCACTAAATTGGCTTTACTCAAAAATGTTGAAATTGGATTTAGTCATTCTGTCGACTGTAAGGCTCATTTATATATATAATTGGTTTCTTACAAAAAATCACTAAGTCCACTTTTAACAAATTTATACATTGTTCTACACAGGTACTTATGATCCTTGATTATATTTATTGATGCAAAAAATCGTTGTCAACTTAGTGATTTAAAATAACAAAGTGTTACTAAATAACTTTTCATAATAAACTATATGTACAATACAAAAAATCAAGGGAACGTGGAAAATAGTTCATTACATTCGCACAAAAAGCATCTTATTTATCTGTAGCACATGTGAATAAGTCAACAATGATTTTTCTAAGAATTACATTTATAGGCATTAAGCTTATCTCCTAGAAGAAACTTTTGGAAAATCATTGCAAAATTAGAACAATTTTTAATTTTCTACCTATACTAGGTAAGGAAAGTATTGCAATAGGATCAAATTTCTGATATGTGGTTTTTGACAGATCTATACATTTAAGAGCTCCCTGAGTTCGAAAAACACATTTTTAGCCATTGGTCTGTCTGTCTGTGCCAAGATTTTCTCGGGGACTAGTGAACCGAATTTGTTGCTTCTTTTTTTATTTTGTATGGTTTTGACTACTGATGCCTGTGACACCAATTGGATGCTCCATGTGCAATAGCTGCTTCGCAATAAATGAAAAAAAAACTTTTTCTACAGACTGTAGCGCGAAAATGGCTCTAACGATCTTGATGAAACTTTCTTATAATGTCCTAATAATTGTCCTTCAAATTTTTGTAGAATTAACTAAATTTCCAAGAAAATTCTACAAAAAGTTAAAAAGAAAAGAAAAATGTTTTCCAATGTAAGATTACGGGTTCATATCGTGGTGTCAGAAAGGGGTGAATGAGAGAAAAAAGATAACTAAGTGAAAGTAAGAAAATCTGTTGCCCGCATCACAGTTGCTAGCTTCACTACTTTCTCTACTTTTAACAGAAATTATTGTTTGGCAAAATTAGGCTATGGCAAAAAGTTTTTGATCAGCAATATTAGAGGGTATTAAAATTTTTACACTGATCTAAATCTAAATCGTACTCAAATCTTTTCTTTGGCCAATTTTCAGAAAAATAAATCTAATTCAATTTCTTTTTGTTTCTTGATGGAAATATATAAAGATATAAAAACTTTTCTGAAATAGGTAGGAAAGTCATGTGAGTGGACACACCAGATTTTTCTTCTTAAAACCGGATCCTTTTATAAATACAAACTTATAAATTCCTATATTAGTGCAAATCAAGTAAACAGTACATTTTAGTGAAACAAGATTTGATTAAAATTTTATGAAATAAACATAACCAGACTTATTTAAGTTTAAAGAAATTAAAACAGAACTTTGAATTGTGAATCAATGATTCTTTTGATATTTGTTGTACTTTACTGACGTACGGTTTGCAGAATTATAACATGAAACTGTATGTATTGCAGTTATAGAGTAAATGTCATGTTTACTAATTAAAAATGAATTTAAAAATGCTAGAAAATCTAGTCTCCAGTAGTTAAATATTTTAAAACATCAAGAGCAACATGTGATAACTTGAATCCTGAAATTTCACTGCAGAAATTTATTTTTTACTTCAATTAATAATATATATATGTATTAATAAAAAACTTAAAATTTTTCTATATATTTCAATCAGGCTAATGGTCCCAAATTTTATTTATAAAGCATATACAGCTGTATTTAAAGAGATAAATTAATGAGGTAATAATAATAGACAATAAAAAAATTAACTCTTTTTTATGAGAATTATAACTTATTAGATAAACAGTCATTTTAAATAACTTACGAGGACTTGAATAGGAAAATCTTGCAGTTGGGTATGAAGCAAGCAAAGCCAATATAGCTGACTCTTTGTCATAATGAGAGCCTGATAAAAGCATTAATTTAAGCAAGCGAGTTAAATAAGCAGACATTACATACATATTTATAATTATGTAGAATATAATACAGTATAATTAATATATATTATGTAACCACAGTATAACCTCATTAATCTAAGATAACTAAAGCTAAACAGATTTAGTTGTGTAAAAAAAAATCTGGATTACTGAAATTTAAAACAAAAAATATAATTATATTTTATCTTTTTAACAAAACTTTTATAATAATTAATTAGCAGTTATCCAGTGTGAATAATTTAAGTGACAAAGGACAAAATAAGAAGGGAATAAAATGCAACAATAATTTTATATCATAAGATGGAGGAATCAATTTTCATTTTCTCGATTACTGTAATGACCAACAGAAAACAAATTAATTTAAAACTTCATTCACGTTTCAAAACAATATGTTTACAAATTATAATTAGCTGTATAATTGCTTGATGGTCTGATTTCAATTGACCTTACAAATAGTCATGAGTATAATCAACCATAAAATGTATACTTTATACATATGATATGAACCCGATGGCAGCAATACAATTAACATGAGTTTGTGTGGTTGCCTATCCTTTACCTTGTATTATCTAGGAAATGGTACATTTTCGGGCTTTAAAATGCAGGGTCCAGTAGTTCTGAGGAAATTACTATGCCTGCATTAAAATCTTCAAATCCCGATTTGTTGCATCTCAATCGCCTGAATTACCACTGTCTTAGTGTTGAAGTCTAGCAAAATATTTATATTGACTTAATTTACTTTTAGAAAGAAAAACAATAGCAGAGAATATAATTTACTAATCCCAATTCAGAATCCAACGGTACCCTATTCATGGCATTTGAGCATGACAGGTTCTTATATTTGGTACAAAACTGATACCTTAGTGAAATAATATATATGGGGATTATCGAAAAGTAATTATTAATAATCTTGTGAGAAATATTGTGTAATTTTAGTTTGGAATGGCTAACATCGAATTCCACTTCAGTTTGGAAATTGCTTTATAAATTTATCAATATCAAAGCAATTAAACGGAGTAACAGTAGTGGTGGATGTCTAATCTTAAAGCTTTAAAAGCTAATTAAAAGTTTTCTGGATTATAGAATAGCAAATACAGATTAGTGAGTGTGCACTGTATTTACAAAATATGAAATTTTAATACAAGCTGTATCAAATAAATTATAAGTAGTTAATAAAATATGGTTATAATACTTATTGATAACAAAAATCATATAATATTTAAAAAATACATTAATTCAAAAGTAAAACCAATGGTTCTTTTTTAAAAATGTTTACATTAGCAAGTATAATTGTTAATACACCATTTTTAAAACAAAATAATGGCACAAATGTAATATTTAGCCAATTATTGTTAGTTTATTGATTATTTTCCAATAAATAGTACTTTGTCTTCTTTACAACAGAAATTATGAAAAAAAGAATTAATATAAAAAACTTACTCTTTTTAGTTCCAGCTATAATTTGATCAGACAAAAGTGATTGTCCTTCTCCAACTCTGTTTCTTGCTGAAACTTTGAACTCATATGAGACACCTTTCTTAAGACTAGATGTTACAATATGCAGTTCTTTAGTGGAACCAATCTTGATCCATGCATTTCCTGATTCTCTCCTTTCTACTAGATAATCAAGAATTGGAGTACCGCCATCTGAGAATGGAACTCCCCATGAGAGAGTACAAGAAGTATCAGTCATACCTGATATTTCTAATGGTCCTTCAGGTGCTGATGGCAAACCTGTGTGTGAATATGAAAAGTTAATAGAAGCTTAGACTTTTACCATTAGTTTATTAACACATATATTTTTATTTAATTTGAACTGAAATCCTTTATTCAATTACTTGTCCAAAGAAAAAAGTATTGATCATTATTCACCAATACCCATGAACTTTGTATTTAATGTAACGGAGTCCATGTCTTGGTCACGGTGATTCGAGGAGCCTAGAATATCCGGAATAAACAAGTGTCCTAGGCTCTTATACAGAGAATTAAATCATTCTATATTATAAATATTCTTATTGTATTATATTATAATCCTCGAGACCCGAATCCTCGATTGCTCCCCATCTTCCGATCATCCTCATGTAGAATACCTCTTAGTAGAAATTCTCAGTAATACTTCTCCTATCCTTTACGCCGTGGTATATCGCCCTCCTCTCGTGCCATTTGACCCGTCCTTCGAATCAACTCTATTCAACTTCGTTCCCCTCTATCCCAGAATAATTATCTCCGGTGACCTCAATACCAATTTCCTCTCAAACTCCAATGACAAATCCTATTTAGAAAATCTGTTTTTCTCACTTCACCTATTCATCGTTCCTTTTTCCTCCACCCACCACACCACCAGATCTGACACTTGGCTAGACTACTACATCATCGACTCAGCACAAAACCTCCTCTCCGCCTCTCAATTACCAGTATCCTTTCTTTCATCTCATGATCTGATACAAATAACGTATAATATCCGCACTCCTCCAATCCATCCTCGAACTATCACTTTCCGCCAACTGGATACCCTTACTCGAGAAAAAATATTACCTGATCTAGCAACATTGGATTTGAATGGAATATATCATTGCTCCTCTGTCGACACCATGGTTGATATTCTCACCACCAATCTTCTCAATATACTCAATACCCACGCTCCTCTCAAAACCTCCACTTTCCGTCCACTGCTCCTTGGATGTGTCAGGAAATTAAGGATCTGCAGAAGAGAGGCGACGCTGCACGCAGACGCTTCAGACGGACTAGGCTTGCAGATGATTATCAAATATTCAGAGTGCTTCATAACACGACACAGACAAGGATCCGACAAGCGAAAGCGAACTACTTTCACGAAGCCCTTTCCTCAGCTCCTGATATCAAATCAAAATGGCTTCTACTTGGTAAGCTTTCCCTCTGTGAACCTTCTAGATCCCCTTCCTCAGTTTTCCCAATATCACCTGATGACCTAAACTCCCACTTTATATCGGTTTCCACCTCTTCTTTACCATCCCCTTCCGGCTTTTCTCCAGAGGTACCTTTTAACGACAATAATTTTTATTTTTCCGACATTTCTCCCACAGACCTTATTACCGTTATAATGAAATCCCGTTCCAATTCCGTAGGCCCAGATGGCATTCCTATCAAACTAATAAAATTATGTCTCCCTGAAATCCTCCCAGCACTCCTTTTCATCTACAATTTCTCCCTGCAGAATTCAATATTCCCGACCTCTTGGAAAAAAGCCATTGTCCTTCCTTTAAACAAAAAGCCTAATCCATCCTCTCCCGAAGATTTCCGCCCAATATCAATCCTTTCCAATCTTTCTAAACCCCTAGAAAAGTTAGTGCAATCCCAAGTTTCCAACTACCTTGAACAATCCAACCAACTCGATCCTCTCCAATCTGGCTTCCGTCCTGGCTACTCTACACAATCTGCTCTGATTAAAATTACTAGTGATATCCAGACTGCAATAGATGACAAAAAACTAACCATACTTATACTGCTTGATTTCTCCAAAGCTTTCGATTCCATTATCCATTCCATCCTTTTCAACAAACTAAAATCATTATCCTTCTCCAATAGTTCCATCTCTTGGTTCCAGTCTTTCCTCTCACAACGAACCCAAGCAGTTTCCATACCTAATCAACTTTTATCTGCCTACCTTCCTTTATCCTCAGGAGTTGCACAGGGTTCAAGCATGTCTCCTCTTCTTTTCAGTTCTTATATTAATGACCTAAATGATTCAATTATCCATTGTTCCCACCACCTTTATGCCGACGATTCTCAAATCTATTTATCCTTTTCTCCCGCTGAGTTATTGGTGGCATTTGCCAAAATTCAAGAAGATTTAGATCGAATTAGTGCCTGGGCCAACTTAAATGGATTAAGGCTAAATGCTGCCAAAACTCAGGCCATTCTCATTGGTTCCAAGCCCCTTCTTAGATCCCACACCAACTTTCCCTCACTCTATCTAAACAACCACCCCATCACCTTCTATCCCTTTGTTAAAAATTTAGGATTTCTCATAGATCAAACCCTTTCCTGGAATCACCATATCTCTCATATATCCCGCCGTGCAATTTCTACCCTCAAACTATTCCATCACTTCCGCCATCTTCTACCCCAAAATACCCGTAGACTCATAGTTTCCTCTCTCATCTTTCCCCACTTTGACTACAGCTGTGTGGTGTACGATGGCCTCTCGGTGGAACTGCGTGATAGACTCAAAAGACTTATGAATTGCTTCGTAGAATTTGTAATTGGAACCCCGAGACGCTCCCGTGTCTCCCACCACTGCACTGAGTTAGGGTGGCTCTTCCCCTCCTTAAGAAGACAATATTTCCTTGGCACTTTTCTTTATCAAATCATTACCGATCATCGTCCTTCTTATGCCTACAACCTTCTCCAATTTAAGTCCTCAATCCATTCACTCACTACAAGATCCCGACCCTCTGACCTATACATCCCTTCTCATAGATCTGCCTCATTCCAAAATTCCTTTATAGCCCGCTCTGTCAACTTTTGGAATTCCCTCCCGATCAAAATTCGACATGCCCCTTCCCTGTATACATTCAAAAACCTCCTATTCCAATTCCTGTTCCAAAAACAGTCTGATACCAGCTAACTATTGATATTATATATGTATTGTGTAGCAATCATATAATCATAACACTTGGTAAGAGATAGTACATGCATTTCCTACTATCGACGTAGGAATTTCAATACATACACTTCTTTTTATTTTATTTTTTTTTATTCAATTATAAGAAACTGTTTATTTTTATATATATATTCAAGTAAAGTTTTTTTTTTTTTGCTTTTTTTTAGGAAATGAACTCATTGTATCTCTTTTTCGTTCTTCATTTCTCAAAGTGTATGTTTATGTTGTTCAACCCTTAAATATAATTTTGTTCATAGTTCAAGTGATTCTTTCATAGTTTTAATTGTTTTGTTCATAATTTTAAATGCTCTGTACATAGTTTTATCTGTTTGTATATAGCTTGTGCACCTAAGGTTTTCTTTACTTTTTATTTTATTTTATCAATTTTATTTATTGTTTCAACGTCCAGGCCAGTAATATTCTATTATTTTGTACATTATTGTTATTCTGAAGGGACTTAGTCCCAGAATAAAGTTTTTTTTTCTATCTATCTTCTATCTATCTAAATATTGTAGAAACTATGTTAAAACGTCCTAGCAAACATCTGCCGAATTTGTCACTACAATGGGAGTCAGATAGGGATACATAGGGAGCCCTCTATATTTCAGCACCCTCAGAAGGATGTTCTCGCCAGCAATAGGAAGTTTTTAAGTAAGAGAGAAGTGGCAAAAGAAACAAAATTAGCCGTCTATTATCGATCGACGTTCATCCCTATCCTCACTTACGGAAGCGAATCATGGGCCCTGAAGCAACATGATCGCAGCCGCCTCCAAAGCATGGAAATGAGGTATTTGAGGAAAATAGAAGAAAAGAGCAAGAAAGACTGGATTCGTAACACAATGATAAGGACTACACTAAAAATTTAACTCCTCAACTAATAGAAAAAGGGCAGCTTCGATGGTTTGGTCATGTAATGAGGATGGATGACAGCCGTTTAGCAAAGCAAATTACGGAGGCTAAACCAGTGGGAAAATGACCTAGAGGAAGACCAAGAATTACTTGGGAAGATAATCTCAAGAATATTCTTAAAGATAGAGGTATTGGATGGTTGGAAGCCAGGAGAGCACAACTCGACAGAGACGGATGGAAATCCATATACAGAAATCTCTACACTGAAAGGTAGAAATGATTATTGAATAAGAAGAAGAAGAAGTCCACGTCTTTAAGAGTTAAAACTTTTCAGTAAGAATTACTTATTAATGAAGTATTTCAAAGCTAAATTAAATAAAAATTACCGAACAGATTTTATTAAATGTTTTAGACAAACAAAGCTTCCTTTGGTTAATTATATTATTTAGTTCTATTTTTAATTTTATTCTATTTTAGTTCAGAGATAAGTTGGAATGGATCAATCTTATACCAATTAGTAACAGGTTACATGTAGTAACTAGTGGCTAATAGAAAGCATAGTATTGTTTCAGTCCCAGCTAAGGACTGCTCAGTTGTTTATCGGTCCCAGTTACCAAAGTTGCTCCTTCAAACCTATCTTGGAAACACTGTCAGCCAGAAAATCAAACATTTTATTTAATCATATAAACTTTCCAAATTTATTGGTTGAATAAGAATTACTTTTATCTGAACCATGCAATCGATATAAAATATCAGTTTTTTTTACTAAACTCATATCTACATTTTGGTGTCCCACTACTAGCAAGTACTGTTCAATCAAAGTATAATAGGGGAAGGCAAGGCAAGATAAAGAGATTAAGCTATTGCAATTTTTCCTGGCCTCAATCAATGTATTTAAGAACTGAAATTTTTATGAGAAATTCTTCAATATCTTTAACCAGTTTCAATGCCTGTTACCATGAGTCTTTTAATTATCTCTATTGTATTCAAAGGGATGAAAAATGAGTTTTTCCCAAAAATTTTCATTTTCTTCATCTTACCCTAGCTACGGGTTAAGATGACAAAAAGACCAAGGAGTTTCAAAGCATCATAACAAACTACTTAAACAAGAACTACTATCAAACTTTATTAACATATCACCTAACTGTGAAAGGAACCACAAACTTTCATTAAATTATAAAAAAAGGAAAATTTATTTGAATGCAGAAGTCTGATTTATAGACTGTGTGACAGGTGTCCCTGGTCCTATCTGGAACAATCAGAATGACCCCACTTGAGGCACTTGCAGTACTGGTACCACTGCTCTTCTTTGCCTTCCTCAGGATACAAGATGCAGAATTTATCATCTTTATACCTCACACCATTTTGACCATTCCAACATTTATCAGTAACCACAACTATTGTAAAATAAATGAGTCTCCTATTAGTTTGTGGTATGGAGCTGTACATTAAGAATATTTTAGTCAGATAGTTGAAAAAACTTGATTTAGATTACTGATTCCTTGCATTTTGAGATTTGAAAATTACTGCAAAATGGTTCTGTATATGAAAATTTTTGGTCACAAATTTACTCTAGATGGACACAAACTTGTTTATATGATTGAGTTACATTGCCCACCAAAACACAAATCTCATGCTGAATAGGACGCACTGCTATCTATGATTGATAGTAAGAAATACTGAATATGTCATCTTGCTCTGCCTTTCCCTACATATTAGTAATAGTAAGCCATTTTGAAATTTATGTAAGACTTGCTAAAATCCGTAGAAAAATATTTGTTTAACAATTGTTTGGTTTCATTTCCAAGTGTATTAAGAGATTTGACCTGTAACAACAAGAGTAAATTCTTTACAATGCATTGGAAGGAACGAGATTCCCCAATCACTAATCCCTTTTTATTTTAAAGAAATCTAGACTTAATTTTTTTAACCTAAAGAAAAATGTAACATAGTTACCATACTTAATATAGTTTTGAATTTAAAACAAAATCTGAAACCATTCATTAAAATATATTTAATTACCATATTTGGACTGTACTCTGACAGATTCACTTTCTGCTGGCTCTGAAACACCAACTGGATTCTGAGCAAATATTCTGAACATGTATTCTGCATTAGTTAAGAGCCTCTGCACAGAGTATGATCTTGCATCTCTTTCGATATCAGCGACCTGTAGTAAAAAAAATATATATATATATACAAATTAAATAATATACATAATAAAGCCTTATTTAATCATTTCCAACAAGAATCTTTAACGGAGGGCTATAAGCTCATCTATAATGTACTTAAAATGTTTTATTAAAATATAATCGTAATGCTGCTCAACTGTGTTGAATTGCTGACACAGCTTAAAAATCCATCTTATTGACAATATCTAACAATTCAGCTTGATATACTTTGCATATACAAATGTCATTTGTTGTTTTCTTTCTTCTTCCATCCTCATTCTTTTCGCAACTCTCAATTCTGTCACGCGGATCCAAACTGCAATGACCAGATTTAATAGAGATGATAGTGAAGAATTCCCAGTGAGTTCAAAATAATGGATTCCGCCAAATCCTGAATCTCATTTCTTTGAACACATAGTTTTTCCAAAAAACTAGCAGTTAGAAGAGGAATTGCCTCTCTACTTCCAAACCAAAGTCCTCATACTGAAAAATTTCTCTCCCCGAATCCCTATTTTAAGTACAGAATGCATTTTGTGTATATTTCCTCCTTCTCAATTTGCATTTTAAGCAAGATCTCAAATTCGTCTCGTATCTAATTGTAGGATGAACTATAAGAGTCTCCTTTCCTTTTGCACTAAAGGCTAAGATGTCTACGAATCTTACTGAGCCTTCCGTATCAAGAAAATAAACTTTGAGGAAGCATCTATAATTTTTCATCTCCAGTAATTTGAAAATGGAGCACACCTATTTCCTGCCACTAACATTTGCTCCAATCATCAAATGATTTTTCCCTCAGGGACTGCCTAGCTTTCTTCACTGATATTGACACTTCTATATTATTCACATTGAAACTAAATAAAAATAATTTTAAATCTAAAAAAAGGTACAGAATTATTGATGTTTGAAAAATATCAATAATTAAAAAAAGTTAAAAATCTATCAATAGATAATATATTTTTACAAAAAATAAATTGAATCCTATAAAATTTTTAAAATAAAACTTTCATTTCATCAAAAAAAAGTTTGATAAATTAAAATGGAGTACCTTTGTCCATATTTTCTTTGAGATTTCACATTTTTCCAAGGAATACTTGGAAATATCAACTCCGCCATCATCGACAGGAGGTTGCCAACAAACTGTCACTGATTCTGACTCAATATCTTTTATTTGTACTGACTGAGGGCAACTAGGTTTGTCTAAAATCATCAAGATTAAACATCATTATACTTGCAATATTATTTTAAAAAATAATTAGGCAGCTATAGCCAATGAAAACTTATACAATTTCTCTTCTTTCAAACTACATCATATTCATTAATTTGGTACCATAATAAATAATATCAATAAATTTATGTTTGCTATCAAGTAGTAAGCTAAGAATGTATAAATAATTCAAACAAATAAATAAATAGTAGATAATAATAATATGTATAATATATTAAATTAATTCATTTAAAATAAGGTATGTGCTATGATGATTAACAGTTTTTCAGTTTTTGCAGGCCATGTTAACACAATACACTGATGCATTCCAAAGATCTTTTAATTGGTTAAATTACATCTAATGCCCCATTTAATTTGCGAACCTAATTATATTGCAAAATTTGTTTTTCCAAAATTTATGGAAGAAAACTAATTTTTCAAGTATGAAATCAATGAATGTAGATGGAAGCAACCCTTACAAGAAGACAGATCCCAATAAAAACATTATTATTTTATAATGTAAGTTTTATAGATTGTTAAATTAGGGATTTCTCTCTTTTGTGTCAAGATCTAAATAATGGAAGGTTAAACCAGTAAACATGGTTGTAAACACTCAGCCAGTTTCTAAATTCCAATTATATTATGATCATGTGATCCTGTGCCCATCCATCATGTTGGAATGACATTTGTGAAGTGTTATTCATTTTTTTTTTTTTTTAATTTAACAATGTCTGTACTGAACAAGCACTTCAATTCTATATGTTTAACCTGTTCTTTGGAAATTCTCTGGATTAATAGGAATAAGCTTTAATTTTGATGGGTATATGTCAAATATGATTTAAGAAACAATCATTTCTAAACAGATAAGATTATTTTCTTTCTACTGCCCCTCGAGGATAAATTTGAGTTACATTAGCTTTCCATCTATATCTCAATGTACCCTTCAAGATTTAACCACACAAGTGAATATTTCTGTTGTAAAGGTAATCTCAATTAACTGATTAATTGTAAAGCATTGCATTCAAATAAGAAAAAAAAAACATTTATATTGATAATTATTCTGGAAATATACCTATCACTCTCAAGTTCAGGTCAAGTGTAGCAGTTCCAGCAATGTTGGTAGCCTTTACTGTATAAATACCACTGTCTATTCTTTCTGTGGAGTAAATTGCTATTGTTGTTGATTTTTCATCAATGTAACACTTTATCCTTTTATCTTCTACCAGTTGTTTTCCATCCTTAAACCACTTTAATTCTGGTTTAGGATATCCTGAGTAAGTAATAATGGGTTTCCATTGACTAGCAATGCCCACTTGAACTGATAATTGGTCATTATCAATAGATAATGTTGGAATATCTAGAAAACAATAATATATATAATATTAATTATGCATTAAGTATTAGTAAGAAAATTGTAAGGAATATACATTTTATATATATATATATATATATATATATATATATATATATATATATATATATATATGAATATTGTGGAAATATTATACTAATAAGCTTGTACTCTATATACATTCCAAAAAAATGACTAGCAGAAAAGACATGACATTGTTTTGAGAAAAGACAGAGCAGCAAACAAGAGAAGGTGGATGATGTTTATAATGGAAAAAAAAAAACTAGAATATTTATAGGATTTTTGAAGCACTATTCTAATGTAACAGTGTAATAAAATAGTGTAATACGAGTTGAAATTAAGTGATTAACAACAGTAATACTATATTTTTCATACAAGCTAGAATTTTAAATACAAGTAAAAATTTTGATAAAAAATATTCATAATTTATTTTTTCTTAAGATAATATTACATTTATCCTTAGTGTTATGGCAGATAAATTAAAAAGGAATAAAATAATGTATGTCAATAATAATTGATTAATTTACCTTGAATAGTCAATTTACAATTCGTCTCAGCAGTTCCAGAACTATTAGTAGCTTTACAAGAGTAGACACCTCCAGAAATCTCAACACACTTTGAAATTGTAAGCTTTGCAACATTGTCTGTATAGGTGATAGTTTTAGTCTTTAATGGTTTTCCATCCTTAAACCTATTGTTCAAATAAAACAATAGCATAAGTAATTCCTTAATAATAACGGCAAAGAATATAATTTTTCACATTAATATTTGATTTAGAAATACACATCATTTTTTAAATATGTCTCCTTAATTAAATGTTATACAAATTTATAATTGATAAATTCACTGAAAAAATTATTTTACTTATTACCAAACTTGATTTTATTTTGTTATGTACATTATTTATTGAAAAATAAAAAATAACAGTTTTATGTTTTCAACTTCCTTCTAATTGCCTCTCCTAATTTTGGGAGGTAATGGTCTAACTTCCCGTAAAGGTCAGCCGTACTGAGTATTAGAGGCCTATGATCTTCACTTTACAATTACAGGGCTCTAACCACTTTAGAAAACAACATCATAATTAGTAGCACCCTCAGAAAGTATCTCCCTTCTTAAAATATATAAATAAAAAATAATAAGAACACATAAAAACCTCAAAACTAAATTCGCACTTAATATTTTCACTTTTATATATATGTATGTATGTATATATATCACCCTTCCTTAAGATGGGGCAACACAGGGTTTGAGTGGGATAGTTCACATATACTACATCTACCATTATACAGTAACAAACAATACACATATAGAAGAGATACGCATATAACTCAGTATTACACCAAGTTGAAGTAGCTCTATCCATCCAACCGCCGTCTGTACTTCCTTGCTATCTTTCTATACCAAGCCATCAGAACTCAGCGGCCTTCCTATATTTTTCACAGCCTACAATTTAAATATTCCATTCAATCCCGTCCCACTAGATCCCGTACTTCTGACCTCTATCCACCTCCTCACCGAACTGCTGCGTTTGAAAAATCCTTTGTAATTCAAGCTGTCTCCATCTCGAATACCATCCCTACCGATATCCGACTTGCGCAATCAGTTTCCTCATTTAAATCTCTCCTTTTTAAGCACCTACTTCTTTCCCAACCCGATTGATCATGAAAAGTAGACAAGAGAACTTTTTAAGTTCCCCCAGAAATGATTTTGTTTACTTATGTTATTTTATTTTCACATGTTTGTATTATATATATCTGTATGTATTTAGTGTTTTTGTTATATTTTTCTTCAATATTTTAATTTTAATGAGAAGTGTAAATATTTAATTTAATTTTATGACCACACAGGCATTTCCTCTGTATCTATAATTTGTTATAAAGGGACAACAGTCCCACGAAGATAAAAATCTATTTTAAAAAAAATGATGAAATTTATTAATCTATGCCCATCAGGGATATTTCTGTCAGCCCACATTTTTCTGGGAATACTTAGTTGAAGTAGCCTAGCTCCACTGTCACTATTTTATAATTTGTCATGTTCCCATTGTCAGTATTTATTCGTATACTATGTAAACGAGCATTTTAATTACGAGTAGATCATATCTGTCATGAATAGGACTTCGTGCTGTGGCTCTCTTTCCGTTCATCTGCTCTTCTGTTTTAGGAGAGTACTTCTGAGTACATTAGAATACCCAACACTACTCCTTTATATATTACTGTTGCGAGGTTCCAGAAAGTACCCTCAAATGAGCCCATTTAGTGGCAGAGTCACTTTGTTTGCAAGATAGTCCAAACCTTACTCCAAGGTAGAATATAATCTCAATTAGATGCATTTTATTTATTATCATTCATAAAGCGATAGGGTGAGAGCTTTCAGTTTCTCTTCTCATGAGATTGGCCTATTTCTTATCAATGGCCATCTTCAGCTCCTTTCTCTCATATCAGATGGCCGACTGCTATTTGAGGCCAATACTGTGAACAAATCATTCATGTATGTTGTAGCTGGGAATCAGTTTCAATAGAGCTGTACCAAGAACTGATCCCAGGGGGAAATCCCTCTCTACAGAAGCTTTCAACTAGAAGGAGCTACCTCAAGCCTTCATCTATTCTAGAGGTAGTTTCTGAAAAGAGCATAAAAGTTACTGTGACATTTTATTGGTGCTGATGGAACATGAGTATCCACAGCAGTACAAAGATCACTCCTGTCCCATGTGTGGAGAAGCTGGTTGGTTACATAGGCTTAAGGAGTTCAAGTTAGGTCTTGAACACTTTCAAAAGTCTTGAACCACTTCTACTTTAGGAAGGTTATACTTGTTAGACTTGAGAGGTGCTTGATGGAGACTGAACCAAGGGAGTGAATAAAGGGGATGGTTAGAAAGGATTTGACTCAATAGATTTATAATTGAATGGATCATAACTTAAAGAAAATTCAAATAATTTTTAAATAATAATAAATACCATTTCACTTCAGGCTGAGGGAATCCAGAGATGACGCATTCCAGTGTTACACTGGAGCCAAGACCTGATGCTGTATCATTCAGAGGTTTACAGACAGTCGGAGCAGTACCTCCTGTCGGCAACTGGATTTTGATATAGCGGCTGGAGTCTGATGTCTTGCCCCGACCAACTGAGTTAACTGCACTAACCCTGAACATCATTTCATGACCAGTAACTAGTTTTGTCACTTTGTGAGTTGTTGAACTAATTTCTGTAATTTCATGCCATCTGCAGGAACAAAAAAAAAAAAGCAATAGAAAAAATAAAATATTTAGTAATGAATTAAGTTGAAAATCAAAACAATCAGAGATGACTGAGGGAAACCAAAGATGACACATTCCAGCATTACATTGGAGCCTAATAATAAAATATAGAATAATAAAGGATAAATATTCAAAAGCTTAAACTTAAAATAAGAATTTGGAATGCTTTGGGAATGGAATGATCTAGTTTTAAGTTATCTGAAAAACTAAAAAAAAAATATTAACTACCAGGTTTCCATACACAGAATAATTTTATTAAAAACTTGAGAACTAAGTCTAATATGGGAAAAATTCTCCCTAAGAATAATATTAATGAACAAACAATATGATAGCAACAATAGAACAATATGATTATTAAATAATAAGTTAACTAAGATGAATTAATGCTTAACCAAATCAGTAATTTTAGTAACAATGAATATGACATTTTAACAAATTTGAAAACTTCACAAAAAAACTATTCTATTCTAAAATGTTCATAGATTTAAGTATTAAAAAAATACATAATGGACATATACATACAAGGTGACCAGACATCCTGCTTTTGGCGGGAGTGTCCCGATCTTTAAAAATTTGTACCCCATCCTGTTTTTTATTATTTTTGTTGATTTTACAATGATAAAATTTAATAATAACGAATAAATTTTAAGAACTGATTATTGAGAACTGCTTGGCAAAGTTCGCATTGTTGATCAATTGCTAGAATTCAACCACCATTGTTTGGACTTAATGATAATAAACAACACGAAAATGAGTTGTTTAATGAGGTATTGTCAATACATTAAAAAAAATATATTGATAAGGAAAAGGTTAAATTTTAACCAATTTAACATTGGTTTTATAGTTACCAAATTAACTTCATTTACCTCTTTTATTACTGAAATGTCACCTTCAATAAGTTTTTAGCATTTTGAAAAAGAGCTACTTGATTGTGTACAAACTGGTGGCACAAAACATTAAACGCTTTGTTATTATTGAAGTCATAAATTAGACTTCAAATACATTATAAAATTATCTGGTCACAAAAATAGATGTGTCTATAAACAATATACTCAACATACATGTGTTGTTTCAGAAATAACCGATTCAATTGTGATTAATATAATTTCAGATTAAATAAATATATATTAAAATACTGAAAATTAAAACTAAAAGAAACAATGCTAAGAAAACAATTATATGTAAAAAATAACAGTAGATAGTTAAAACCAAATAAGTATTGGAATTTTTATCTTTTATTTTGTTTAATGAGTTTTACTGATTGAATATTTAACATTTGTAGGAAGAGACAGGGTTTAAGAATGGGAAGAGTAGAAGAGAGGAGAGTGAGATATCAGAGTTAGGAAGGAACTTCAGAAATAAGGAGCATAAATTAGGAAGGATTGTTTGGACATCAAGTAGAAAGTTGTTCAGCGCAAATCAGAAGGATGGGTTTTATTTAACAATAATTCGCTAAAGAATTAAAAGTTTAACAATATGTATGTAAACTTCAATTCTGGTAGAAAGGCCATTTATAACAATTGTTAAAAACATTTATTCTTAATGGGAAAAAACATTAAAATATAATTTATTTTCTATTTTATTCTGTAATATCAAAATAAAATTACGTGAGGAATTCTTCTTTGTCATGATGTTCTAATATGTAACATTTTATAGGACTGTTGCCATCAGATTTAGGTTCAGCCCAGTGGAGTGTAATGCTTGTATTTGTTATTTCAACAACCTCTGGGATTCCAGGAGCATCAGGAACATCTGAAACGATAAATATAAAGTGTTCATTTGATGTAATCAGATGCAAGGTGGTATTAATAATATAAAAATAAATAATTATAAAAAGCAAACCTATTATGATCAGTGTTAGTTCAGCTGAGGCTTCCCCAACACTGTTCTTCAATTTGACAACATAATTTCCTACATCAGTGTCAACAACCTTCTTTATTGTTAGAGTAGCTGAATCTTCTTCAACCTTAGAAGATATCTGAAATATAGACATAAAACTCCATGAAGCAATGCAAAAAAAAGTTGTTTATAATTTTCTTAAGTTATGTTTAAACTTTATTAACAAATTCATAATAATTGTATTTATTTATCACAATAAATTATATGATTTCATGGAAACAAAGTAGTTTTTATCTCCTTTTTATTCAATAAAAATGAAAAAAAAATGAAAGAAACAAATATAACATAATAATCTAAGAATTATAGATGTTAGTAAAAATATGTGTTATAAGTGTATTATATTATATATGTGATAATAAAAAATAGATGATTACTTCTTAATATATTAATATTAAAAAAATAAATAAACAAAAATAGTGTATATATATATAAACTGAACTATTTATAAAACAAGACAATTGAAATTTACTTACCCTTTTGTTAGGGATTATGACAGTTCCATTAACTGACCATTCAGCAGATGGTTTAGGAGTTCCTGTGAATTTGACTACTATTTCCACATCCTCTCCTCTTTGGACTTTATATGTTTTTTCAGCAACTTGGATTTTGGGAGCAGTTTCAATAACTGTTAAAAAGTAATATTAATGGTAACAAAAAAATCCATTTTTTACAATATAAAGAAACATTATTGTAACAGAAGTAAAATGGTTCAAACCTTCAATCTTTAGTTTAGTGGTTGTTTTTATATTCATAGCAATACAAGAGTAGTCTGATTGATCTTCTAGAGTGACTTTCTTTATAATCAGTTTGTGTTTTGGTCCATCAGAAGAAATAATGAACTTATCTGATTGTTTAATTTCTTTTCCTTTCCTACGAGCAATAAAGAAAAATAACAGTACAATATTTAACAGTAATCGAAAGTATAAAATCTGAAAAAAGCTTGAAAATACTAATAATTACTTAAGCCATTTAACTTCCACATCACTTCTGGATAGCTCAACAACAAATTCAGCATCCGAACCAACCGGCAACATTGTTACATCTGGTAATCTTGTAATAAATTCAACTTTGGGTTCTGAAATACATTTATGAAATAAGTAGATATATTACACCAAATTAGATAGACTGAATTAAATTAAATCAAATATTAGTAATCATTATTAAAAACTTACCTTGAACAGTAAGCTTAGCCTTGGATTTCTGATCTCCAACCTGACAGGTATAAACACCAGCATCGCTATCTTTAGCTTGATATATTTTCAATCTTTGACGCTTTCCATCAATTGAAAGTTGAATATGTTCAGAAAACTGTATTTCTGTATCATCTTTGAACCATCTTACAAGTGCATCACCTTTAGTTAATTCAACTTCAAAAAGGGCCTTTTCTCCACGGGGAACTGTTGTATCACTCAATGGAGTCAAAATTTCAGGAGGTAATTCTGTAACAAAACATCATAAATGTATATTAATTATCAATAGGATAATCAGAGAAACATACAAATATTAAGGTAAATGGTCTGACAGGAATGCTGATAAGAATATTATTATTGAATAAGTAATATATTTGTTGTACCATAATTATATCCATTAGGTCATATTAACTAGTATTAACATTAAGTACTTGTTTTTGTTTTTTCAAAAATTTTCTACTTACCAATTACTGTGACTTCAGCAGTACACTCTTCATTGCCAAGACGACAGGTATATTCACCTTCATCGTGTACAGATGTACTCCTGATAAATAATTTATGAATAGGACCTCTCTTTTCTATTTCAATCTTATCTTTGATAGGTTCCAATGGCATGCCATCCTAAAATGAAAATATAGTATTTAAGAATCACTAACTTCTTAATTAATAGTATATTTCACAAAACAGCTATTATAAACTATCTTTATATTCTAATACAGTAAAAAATAGGATTTTAAACATGTATTAGATTCATCTTCAGTTGTGTATCAAATATGGTATATTTTTAAAAATGAACTTTATCCATTTTCAATCCGATAAAGAAATATAATCTAGGGTAAAAAATATATTTGTTACCAAACTTTAAGATTTATTGGTATCTAACGATTGCATTTGGTTAATAGCCAATATTCAGTTTTGAGTATACATAAACTTGAATGGGTATAATTATTATCCTTATTTCTCCAATGTTATTTTTAATCTAATATAATAATTTATAGCTTAAATCTTTATCAAAACTAAAATATCTAACATCATCACACCTTGCTTTTGACTGACCACTTAATTATGATTTTTTATGCTTTTACTTATTTATTATTTGATTTTAGATAAGAATCCTAACCAAATTATTATTATTGACTGCATAATCTGACTATTTTTTATCCATCAAATGCTTCAGATATAGAAATACAATCTGCTATTTCAAATTGGTTCTGGTTTAGAAGCGTCAGAGAAAGTGGAAGAGAAGAGGGGAAAAGTAAAGTTCAATAATTAAAAATTATTAATTGAGAGGTCGCACACAATCATCTTTTCTTATAATTGTTTTGCACTGTATAATGGTAGAAATTATTAGTAGTTAATTTTGTGTAGTTTTTTCAGTTAATTTTTTTAACTAATTAAAATTATGTGATATCTATTTTATATACTAAATTTATTATAATAATTTCTAATGATAGTTTTAATTATAAGTATTTAGCATCCAAAATAAAGTTTTTTACATCATAGACGCTTAGAGAACAGCCTTATAAGAATTTTGTAACTATTTTTGTGATTGTGAATTTTTACAGTAAATATATGTATTTATTTATTTATTATGAATCATAAAATATAATGATTTGATATGTAATATGTGTTGCTTATTTAATGCCGTGTCTTATTGAAGAGACACCTGCACAGTAAATAATATATTATTTATTGTGCACATAATATATCAATAGTAATGCTAGTAAATAATTTTGGTGGGCAGATGGTTGGGTGGAATGAAAAATTTATATTGGCCCATTGCTATTAAAATCATGTGGGCCATTGTTGGGAAAAGATTGTTGGCCAACGGTTGTATCTGCGGCCAATTCTAACCGTTGGCCAATCTAAAGTGAAAACCATTTCCCAACGTTGGGCCAATCATTTGAGGTGACCCGTTGGCCTCTGTATGAAATGAACAGCATACACTGAACCGATTATTGTAAATAGCACCGTAAAAAGAAAATAAATTAAATAATAAATAAGAAAATAAATGATATCATTACCAATAATTGTATCTTTCAGATACGTAAGAAAATAACCATATTTAAAAAAATTCATTTTTTCTTTGACTCATTATTTTGTGGCAGAGGAGCAAATACCAAATAAATCAGTTAACTTAATAAGGATTTTTATCAACAAACCGATTAATCAATTAAGTATCAGGAGTTTAACAATGGTGCTGCCTAAGACAGATGGTATGGCACAAAATAAGCCTTTTATATGATAGAACTTTAAACAAGAAGAACATCAATATAATTCATAAAGAATGCATAAATCAGTAATTTTATTCTGATATAAGCTGGATAGTTAATTTATGCTTAAAATAGGGCATACCATAATAATGAAAATAGGAATGCTTAGATGGACAGGTTGTGTTATGAAGATTAATCAAAATACAACATTAAGGAAAGAAATGTCAGAGCCATGGAAGGTTAAGGTGGTTAGACTGTGGGCATAGTTGGTGATGCCAGGAGCATTAGCATTGGAACTGAACAACTGTACAGAATAAAGATCAATTACCATAAGAGGTGAAAGCCTGATAACAAGTTCTTGGGCTAAAAAGGTCTGAACTATGTAACCTGCATTTATGAATTTATAGAATGTTAATAAAATATACCCTGCTAAAGATTATGTTAGGATAAAATTTAATTAATTCTTTCATTAGAGAATAACATGATACTAAAGCAAATTAAATATTTTCTAGTAGGCTATGTAATTTTTTAATTACCTTTTCCCAAATCACATTAGCAGCCTCTGAAGAAATTTCAACTTCAAGAACAGCACATTCTTGTTCTTTGACCTCAAAATCTTCAAGTTTTCTCACAAAATCTGGTTTCACCTCTAAAAAATGATGTAATTTTCTCGTAACATATATTACAATTGTATAACACATCAATTAACACAAAACAAAGTGAATTTTTTTATTAAATATAATTATAAATATTTATTTTTTTACCTTTAAATTGATTACTCGTTTTATTATATAAATGATTACTCGTTTTATTATATGAAGCAGATGCTTCAGGTGTATTAGGCGTGTTGATTACTATGAAGCGTTTAGGGTGCTCCACAACTTGACACAAACAAGGGTTTGATGACTTTTATTTCTCCCACTCACCTTCTAACTGCTGTTATGAAATCCCGCACCAATTCCATAGGACCAGATGGCATCTCACTCAAATTAATAAAATTATGTCTCCCTGAAATCCTTCCAGTTCTCCTATTCATCTACAATTTTTCCCTACAGAATTCAGTATTCCCAACCTCTTGGAAAAAAGCCATTGCGCTTCTGTTAAATAAAATGTCTAATCCTTCTTCTCCTGAAGATTTCCGCCCAATCTCAATTCTTTCCAATCTCTCAAAACCCCTAGCAAGATTGATGCAATCCCAAGTTTCCAATTTCCTTGAAAAATCCAACCAACTTGATCCTCTCCAATCCAGTGATATTCAGATGCGATAGATGATAAAAAATTAACTATCCTTATACTTCTTGATTTCTCCAAAGCATTCAATTCTATTAACCATCCCATCCTTTTCAACAAACTAAAATCACTATCTTTCTCCAATAGTTCCATCTCTTGGTTTCAATCTTTCCTCTCACAATGTACCCAAGCAATTTCCGTTCCCAATCAACCACTATCTGCCTACCTTTCCTTATCCTCCGGAGTTGCCCAGAGATCAAGCATGTCTCCTCTCCTTTTCAGTTCCTACATTAACGACCTACATGATTCAATTCTCAATTGTTCCCATCAACTTTATGCAGATGATTCTCAAATCTACCTATCTTTTTCTCTCCCTGAGTTGTTGGGTAGCATTTGCCAAGATTCAAGAAGACCTAGATTGAATCAATGCCTGGGCAAATATGAACGGATTAAGGTTAAATGCTGCCAAAACTCAGGCCATTGTAATTGGTTCCAAGATCGTTCTTAGATCCCATACCGACTTTCCACACTAAACGTTAATGACCAGCCAGTCTCCTTCAACTCCTCTGTTAAAAATTTAAGATTTTTCATTGATCAGACCTTCTCCTGGAATCACCATATTTCTCACATCTCCTGACGGACAATTACTACCCTTAAACTACTCCATCGCTTCCACCATCTTCTACCTCAACGTACGCGTAGACTCTTGGTTTCCTCTCTCATGTTCCCTCACTTTGACTATAGTTGTACGGTATATGATGACCCCTCAGTGGAGCTCCGTGACAGACTGAAAAGACTAATAAACAGCTGCATAACATTTGTAATTGGTACCCCGATATACTCCCATGTCTCCCACCACTACACTGAGTTAAAGTGGCTCCTCCCCTCCATTCAAAGACAATATTTCCTAGGTACGTTCCTCTATCAAATCATCAATAATCATCGTCCTTTATACACCTACAACCTTCTCCAATTCAAGTCCTCAGTCCATTCTCCTTCAACAAGATCTCGACCTTCCGATTTTTACACCCCTTCTCACAAATCTACCTCATTCCAAAACTCTTTTATTGCCCGCTCTGTTAATTTCTGGAATTCCCTTTCTATTAAAATTCAGCATTCCCCCTCCCTATTTATATTTAAAACCCTCCTATTCCAATTCCTGTCCCAAAAACAGTCAGATACCCGCTAATCATTTATGTAAAATTACATATTATTCATAATGATTTACATAACTATGAATTTGCATATAATTCATCATTTAAATACTCAGAAAATTTTTACTATCAGATTTGGCTTCCTTTCTTTCTTTTTTTTTCAACAGAAACACAAAGTTTATTCCTAAGAAGAAAGTAATGTATTTTTTATATATACATATTTATTTCTAAAAGTGTTTATTTATGTTTTACCACTATACATAGTTTCAAGTATTTTGTAAATAGATTTTTTAAATTTTATTTTGTATATAGCATGTTTAACTAATGTTTTCTTTACTAATTTCTCTTTATTTTTACTTTTTGTGTTGTTTTTATTTAGACCAGATGTAATATTTTAATTTTTTACTTTTTTGTTATTCTATAGGAACTTTGTCCCAGAATAAAATTATTTTCTATTCTATTCTAAATATATATATATATATATATATATATATATATATATATATATATATATATTGTGTTGTATATAAAGAATGGAAGCAATAATGCTTATTATGAACAATTAATTAAAAACAGGCAAGCATTTTTTTTCTCCTATTTTTACAAAGAAAAAATAACCACCAATAAAAATCTTTACTGACAAAAAGAAAATTGTTTGTCTAAGTGAGAGGACATTGAAAAATATTTTTAAAAACTTTAGACAGGTGGTAATAATATGAATAAAGAAATGTAGAAAATTGCCAAGGGGCCAAAACATAAATATATGTGATATAACTAAAAAAGTTTTTTAGTATTTATAAAGAAATTTTTATTTGTTTACATAGTTTGGGATGAAAAATTAATCCGAAAATTTGTTAATTAACTGTAAACAAAAAAAATATAATTATAAACTTTTAAGCAATAGGTTGTAATGATTATTATAACATATCCACTTTTCTTGTAACCGGTAAACAATGAATAATATATCAAAACAAAGAATCTTATTGAAAAATTCTGCCAATGAAATAAATATAAAGTATTTTAAAACTTTATAAAGATACTAACCTTGAACCTTGAGAGTTGTTGATGTTTTCTGATCTTTCACAGAGCAAGTGTAAGTTCCTTTATCAGTAGCTAGTACACGTTTAAAAACTAACATTTGCTTTCTGCCTTCTTGTACCAGCTCTCTATGGTCCATACCACTAAGTTCAACTCCATTGTGATACCATGTTGTTGAAACAGTGTGTGATGTTTCACATTCTAGAGTTAATGGATAGCTTTCACGACTCTCAGATATTTTTGGTAAAGATTTAGTGAAAGTACTAGAAACAATAAAGCAAAGTAGAAGTTAAAATGACAATTTTCATGTGAATATTATTGTAAAAAAATATATGTTTTCAATTATTCATGAAATTTACAACTGCATATATTAAATATACATCTAGTAAATACATATAGAGAAATACAATAGCATGAAGAGAATTTTAGAGAATTTACCCATTGGAATCAATCTCAAAAAATATTTTAAACTTCAAAAGAGGAAATCTGTTTTAAGTCCTTAACACATTAGCTGTGGTTACGGTCACCAGCGTCTATCAGATATAATGATTATTTACGTTTGTATTTATCTTTACATCTATCTAACTCCCATTCAAATATTTTTTAAAATTACCATTTTAGAGACTTCGTAAGATAGGTAACATCGAAATAATCTTGGTCAAAATCGAGACGAATATCAGAACCCGGGTACCATAACCGCAGCTAATGTATTAAATAAAATATACCCAAGCGCAAAAACAACCAGATTTAAGTGCCATCATCAATGTAATACAAAGATTATACTAAGTGATATATTTATACTATACGAAAAATTCTCTAAGATATGCAATACATTAATATAATATTTTATAAATTAATGAATGAGTTAACATATAACAGGCAAACTAATTATAAATCATTCATTTGATGGAATTTACCCAATATTTGCATTAGAAATGATTTGTTATTTCTATATTAACAATTTAATTTTAAAAGAATAATTATTGGAAAACAAATGTTAGGAGAATCCTTATAATGGATAGATAAACCAAGAAAAAATAGCGAATTCAAGTGCCAGAGGGATAGGCTTCAAGGTATAAACTGTGGATACAAAATTAATACAGACACCATCCACACACCATGCTTGGCTAAAACCTCGAAAAAATCCTTTACTCAATGTGACTTTCCAGTAAAAATTCTAAAAAATATAGAATTTAAGATTATCAAGAAATGTACAACAGAAACTCTTTATGATGTTTCCTCAATGATTATAACAATCACTTAAGAAATTAATGAGATTCAATTACCAAAAATCCCAAATGAAGAGGAAGACAGCTGGCTAAAGATATCAAAATTCAAAAAAACAGTTTTAGGACACAGACAACTTGTTCCAAGATTAGGTACCTTCTAATAAAAATCATTAATGAAAAAGTAACTCCATTTTTAAATGAAATTTAAAGTAGTAAAACGGTGGGTTTACATGGCAGCAAGGGAAGTAGTACTGAAAGTCAAAAAGCTATGTTGTGACCAGAGTCCAGATTTTGCAGTAAAACACTACAATATATGCCATTTGCAATAAAAAAAATATAAAATGTGCAGTGATAAAACATAAAATTCTCGACTAAGCATTAATAAAGCTAAACTATCCAATAATAATAATGTGCCAACAAAATAAATTCTGGTTTAAAAAAAATTTTTTTTTTATCTATTTATTGAATAATAATACAATCAGCCACTGGAGGGCTATAAGTATTAGGGCTAAGAGTTCTCATTCAAACAATATATACAAATAATAGAGAAATAAATATAAATATAAAAAGTAAATAAATAATACTGATGAAGAAAGAAAATAAAAGAAAAAAAATAATAACAATAACATAAAAAGAAACTTATAAACACAATCATACCTATATACAATATATACATTCGCCCAAGAATCTCCGAGCCAGGCTTTTTCCCCCACATGTGGAAGGCAAAGCAAGACTCCAGGAGATCCCAGTGCCACTTTTCCAGCCGCATCACTAGTATTAGAAGCCAATGGAGACTGAAAGAGGGCACTAGAGCCACAGACGCTCGGGACATGAGTGGAGAAGCTGGCCATTGCCAGGACTCCAGAAGCATATTTACAAGAGATCTCTGGGCCACTGCCGTTTTAACCTTCGTGGAGGATTGTAGGGATGAAGGGAGCTGGATAGGGATTGAGCTAGAGGATTTGGATGATGGATAAGGTTTTGGTGAAAGTTTGAGAATCTGGTTGGGATGATGTCGAGGACAAATGGGATGTTAAGGTCATGGTGTAGGGTCTTGTTTGTGACATAATATGGGGCATTGACTATTGTTCTAAGTACTTTGGACTGGAAGGATTGGATGCGTTTGATATTCGAATGTTTAGCAGTTCCCCACAGTTCAAGTCCGTAGGTCCAGATAGGTTTCAGTATGGTCTTGTAGATTAAAAGTTTATTTTCAATCGAAAGATGGGATGTCCTACTTAGTAATCTATACAGCTGGCCATATCGTCGGTTAAGTTCTTGTCTTTTAAGTCTGGTATGTGGGTTCCAAGTTAGTCTTTTGTCAAGAAGGAAGCCAAGGTAACGGACTGTGTCTGAGTAGGGAAGTGGAATTGAATTAAAAAGGATTGACGGACAGGATCTGCGTCGCAGGGTAAAAGTGATATGTTTGCATTTTGATTCATTGATTTTGATGCGCCAGTTGTTGCACCACTGCTCAATCAAAGAGAGGTGAGATTGTAGGTTTAGAGATGCTATTTGAGGATCTGAGTGGGAAGATAGAATGGCAGTATCATCAGCAAATGTAGCTAGAAATGTATCAAGATTTGAAGGGATATCGGAAGTGAAGAGGATATAGAGAACTGGGCCCAAGACACTGCCTTGTGGAACACCAGCCTCAACTGGATAGTAAGTGGAGAATGCGGTGTCACAACAGACTTGAAAGGAACGATTTGAGAGGTAGGATTTGAGGACTAGGTATAAGGATTGGGGTAAATGGGTTTTGAGCTTGAAAAGCAAGCCATCGTGCCACACCCGGTCGAAAGCTTGTGCTACGTCCAGAAAGGCACCAGTGCAATAATGCTTGTTTTCAAGTGCAGAGGATATATGGTCCACAACACGAAGGCCTTGTTGGACTGTGGAGTGTCTTGAGCGGAATCCAAACTGATGAGAAGGGATGTTGTGGGATTCAATTATGGGTAGGATGCATTTGAGAAGGATTTTCTCAAAGATTTTTGAGAGGATCGGGAGTAAGCTTATCGGTCTATAGGATGATGTGTTATTAACAGGTTTACCTGGTTTTGGAAACAGGATGATTATGGAATGTTTCCACACCAAAGGAAAGTTGGTTGTGCGAAGGATGCAGTTGTATAGATAGGTAAGGAATATGATTGCTTTTTTGGGAAGTTGTCTGAGGATTTGTGAAGTGAGGAGATCATATCCAGGGGATTTTCGGGGTTTTAATTTGTTTATAAGGAATTTGACCTCAGAGGGGTTAACAGGTTTTGGAGGTAGAGAGAGAGGAATTGGTGAAGAGAGGAATTCTTCAACTTCAGCAGTGTGGCTGGGATGGAGTTCGGGATGAGGGGTGAATGTGTAGGATAAATGTTTAGCAAACTTCTCTGCTCTATTCGCATCTGACGAAGCCCAGGAACCATCATCACGGCGAAGTGGATGGGAAATGGACTGGAATTTAAGGATTTTTTTGGTTACTTTCCAGAGGGAGTTATCACTAGCGGATAATGAGGAGAGGTAGGAATTGTAGGATTGGGTTTTAAAAGGTTTAAAAAAATAATAAAAAATATTTCAATTTTGTTTCCTTTTTTCATAAACCAAAATACTTAAAACATAATGAGAATAACAATAAAACAGAAAAAAAAATATATATATATATGAAATAGTAATTAAAAAAAAATACGAAAACCTTTTAAAAACTAAAATATCAAATGAATACAAATTTGCAATTAGGAGGAAATGTAAAATATCAATAGCTATAAAACACAAGTGAATATGAAAATAAATAACAAATTAACGCATAAGTAACATTAAGTATGTAAATGAATTATTAACATCCATGATAAAGTTTTAAAAAATAATGTGAAATACATTTTAAAATTAAAATATGAATGTAAGAGAAACTTACCATTAATAATAAAAAAAAAATTAGTAATGATAGTAATAAAAAAATTAATTGACAACATAAAAGGCAATAATAATAATAAATAAAATGCTGAAGGGTTAGTAAGCAACATATTATGCATTAAAATTGAAAAGTACTGACTTTTTTTCTTCACTAAAAACTTGTTTTATATTTGGTATTTTAAGGGTTGATCCAATTTAGAAGAAAGTTTTTGAACTTACTTTTGGCATTTAAAATAATAAAAATATTGCCAATTGTAAAGAAAGTAAGAAATTGAAACTGTAAGTACTTTTTAAAAGGAATGATGAGGAGAGATGAAAAGTCAAAAATCCATAATTAAATAAGTCAATTGAAAATGAACCTACAATTGTTAAATGGAATTTTACAACCAACTAATTTTAAACCACCAGCCTCCACCGAATACAGCCAAAATTACTGTTATTATTATAAAGGTGATTTTTAATGTGTAATGGACTGACTTGTTTACATTAAAGAAATTAAACTTCTATGATTAACTGAAGTATTGAACTTCATATGTTTTTAAAAACAATTCCTAAAAATGAAATGATTAATAAAAAAAAATCTATTGATTAAAATATATTTCCTTACACTTTAGCAACATCTATAGTGACCCTGGCTCCATGAGTTGCACTTCCTATTGGGTTAGTGGCAACACATTTATAATCCCCAGAATCTTGTTCAGAATCAGCTTTCTCAATTTCAAGGAGAATCTGTTCACCATCGAACATTTCTGTGATTCTTGGAGAAGCCAGTAATGTTTTATTGTTTCTAAAATATAATAAAAGCATTTTTAAAACTTCAAAAGGTACAATAAGCTTGTAACAACAAACATTAGTAAATGCTTATAACACATAAAATATATTATATTTAATCCGTAAATTATAAATCAATTAATTTATATAATAAATTGTTATGTATTATATATTAATTGTATGAAATTATAAATTACATAGAAATATTATAAATTTTACAAATAGATATTATATATTAACATATTATAAATGAATAAATTATATTAATTCATCAATATAATACATATTTAATACATACAATATTATACATAAAATATATTATATTTATTAGAAAATCTGGTGTGGCGCGCATCCCAAAACTCACTTACCAACCTTAGAGTACAACATAGGTATTTTCATGAATAGCGAAGTCAAAATGAAGATGACGAAATAACTTCATTAAAAACAATCAATTACCATGTTTTCCCACCCATTGAATTGGTTAAATTTATGCATTTGCATTACTTTCCATTTCCTTTAAGGACAGAGTATAGTAGTATCAAATAATACCAATAAATATGGGGGAAATGGATGTTTTGGATAAATTCTGAGTTTTAATGGAAACATTTATCACAAATCTCGTCAGAAAAATAACTTAACGTTAGTAAATATTGTACATTACTAGGTTTATATTAGTAGATCTTCAACATTTTGTATGAAAATCTTTTTAAAAAATTATGGAAAAGTGAAGTACAAAAATTAAACTAACAATATGAAAGTCCTGTACAGAGGGGTATTGGGTACTTGTAACGGGAGAGTATCGGTAAAGGTCAGGCATTCTTGGCTGTTTCCGTATAACTTCCAACCCTTATTTCTCATTCAGTTACCAATCAATTTAATTTATTCACTATATTTAACCATTTTTTATATCAGTTTCCAATGTGAAATGGTTAATTATTTCAAATAAATAAAATTAAATCTAATTTAGAGAAAGAAATTTTGAAAATTATGATAAGACCTACATTATATTAAAAACAGCTTAATTTTACACTGATATAATGAATTTGATCAAAATCGCAAGAGCTGTCTTCAAGAAAACTATAAATTTGATAGCCGATTTTGCTAAAAAAGTTGCTGTAACATCCCAGACATGTAAAAACCTTAAATACAAAATTTCAGTGGTGTATGACTTTTCATTTTTGAGATAGACTGTGTTCATATACATACACACACAAACCACAGTGGGAGTCTGAAATCCATACGTGACGCGCCTCCAGGTGGCAGATAGGGTAATGGTGGCTAGAAATAGAGGGCAAGAGGGAAATAAAATACCTCTCGATAAAACAAACTAGGGGAAGGAACACTGAATAATAAACCAAACATGGGGATTCACGTTAAACTGACAAGCCTTACGATGCAGGGGGTCGGATCTCCAGTATCAGCGTCTGGGAATGTGAGTTCTCAGGTGTCGTTATCCAGTATCCAGCGACTGAATTGCTGGAGTTATAAATGTATAAAGGTATATAGTATGAATATATAAGTATAAGTTATAAATGTATAAACGTATAAAGAAATACTGCACCATTATAACATTGGACGTTAAGTATGCTTTTAATTCAGCTGGGTGGGATTGTATCTTGGATGGATTGTGAAGGATGGAAATCCCACAATAATAATAATTATAAGGATTATTGAGAGTTATTTCACTGACAGAATCTTAAGGTATGATACAGAAGTTGGATTAAAAAGTTACAAGATCACAGTTGGTGTTCCTCAGGGTTCAGTTCTGGGGTCACTAGTGTGGAATATTATGTATGATACGGTGCTCAGGCTACCACTGCTGGAAGAAACTATTACTCTCAGCTTTGTGGACGATCTGGCAATCATAGTTCGTGGAAAACTCTTGGAGGAGATAACTTAAATTGTGAACAAGGCAGTCCTCACCATTTGTCAATGGCTTTCAGCGGTAGACCCTCAGCTTGTTGATCATAGAATTGAGGCAGCATTAATAACTAGTAGGAAAACGAGGGAGACAATTAGACTCACTGTTGGGGAGTCTGATATCTTATTTAAGCCATCGATTAGATATCTCGGAGTGCAAAGTGACGCCAAACTTCGATTTGATAAACACTTGCACAAAGTTAACACTAGAGCAGCAGAAGTAATTAATGAATTGGCCAGGATATGCCAAATATTAGTAGACCAAGGGAAAATCAGAGAAAGCTTCTGACTAATGTAATGAATCCCACGCTTTTGTACACAGCACCAATCTGGGCGGAAGCCTGCCACATGCAGTCATATGTCCGTAAAGCTATCAGTGTGCATTGAATAAGTGCCCTGAGTGTCACTCGAGCTTTTTGCACTATGCCCTACGATGCTGTAGGTATCGAAGAAAACGAAAACAGCTGTGTTCTCACTGGGCTACTTTAGCAAAAGAATAGAGAAATCATACTCTTGAAAGATGGCAGATATGCTGGAATGCCTCATCTTCTGTAAGATGGACCCACCATCTCATTCCCAATTACCAACATGGATATTCTGGAAACATGGGGAGGTAGATTATTACCTCATCCAGCTGCTCATGGTTGCTTCAGGTCCTACATAGCACACTTCAAATAGAGAATACATCATTGGACCCAACTTGTAATTCCATGGATGAAACAGTGGAACATTTATTCTTTTGTTGTTCAGGTTTTGCTTGAGAAAAGGAAGAGCTAGACAAAAAATTTGGAACAAAATCATCCCCGAAAAACTTTGTCGCATTGAATGATGAGGCAGAAGAATTGGAGTGCTGCAGCAGACTCTGCAGCAGAAGGCTCAGAGCACAGAAGCAAGAAAGGAGAGGCCAGGCACAATGGCTTAGCTACAATAAGATGTCCAAAGAAGAAGTAGGCATATAGCCCTTCTACCCCCACAAAGTAATGCTTGACAGCAGTTCTGTGGGGTGGTAAAAAAGAATTGGGATGTGGTTTTTTTGTGAGTGAAATCTCACACTGTTGTGTAACTTTTTGTTGATTCCACTTTGTCCTATGACAGATTTTTCATCTCCCAAGAAATAAAAAAAAACACACACAGACCATTTTGCAGGACTTGGTATGTGTATGATTCAGTGGACTCTGTGTGTGCGACTTAGTGTGTGGCCTCAGGAGCCCTCAAAACATGTATTTCTGCTGAAAACTCAAAGATTCAAAATTTTTCATGATCGCAATACTTTTCTTAATATATATTACATCTATAGGTAAAAAAGTAAAAATAAACATGATAGAAAAAAAATTACAACACTGTTTTAAAATAAAATAAAATACAGGCTATTGGTAATGATTAAAGCAGAATATCTTTAGTTCACTTGTTTGAATTTGAGAGTTCTAGTTTTTACGTAATCACATATTTTAGTTATCAAAGAGTTTAAGGAGTGTGAGGGAAAGAAAGTTCTTTAGAAAATGTATTTCTAGAGATGGAGTATGTTTAATTCTGAGTGCATCTCAGTAATTTTGTTATTATAGGGATAATTTTTGATGATTCTTAGATATTTCAGTATCTGAATGAGTGAGAGTAGAATCATACAGAGATATCAACTGTTTTAATGGATTCTTTCCCCTCTTGTAAATCTGATCAAGTTAAACTAACCAGAGTAATTTATTTTATTTTCTTTCAATCAGATAAATAATGTTGGTTTTCTAGGTAAATAACGCTGGGTTTCTCTTAAAAATAAAATAAAACAGATTGATTTACAAATTAAATAAATTACCTTAACCAAGTTATTGATGGAATGGGATTGCCAATGACTTTAGCTGTTAATCTTATAGTGCCTTTTTCTTGAACTTTCTGTTCTTCAAATCTTTCAACAAATAATGGAGCTTGTGCACGTTTCAGTTCTAAAACAGTATTCAACATAAATCATCATGAATAGCTATTAACAATAGAACAAGTAATATTTCACTGAGTGCTTATAAATTCAATTATATTATGATTGAATCAAATATATATCAGAAAAAAAAACATGCTCATGAATAATATTATGCTACATAAGTTTATGAATCATATTATAATCCAACAATACATATATTATAAAGAAAAACATGTTCATACAAGTACTGAGCATTATTTAATGCTGAAACATCCTATATTTTAGGTGACTACTTTCAAAACTAGCTCAATCCATTTTCAAAATTTTTACAAGAGCATTTAAAATCATAAGTTTGTTTATTGACCCAGATAAACCTCTGGGTTTGAACTTATTTGTATACTATTCATGATAGTATTGACAAAAGAGAAGCAAGTGAATAGTAGGAGTCAAGAAAATCTTATTATGGAAGATGAAACAATAGAAAGGGTTACTAAAATCTGCTACCTTGGGAGTATGGTGAGCCAGGATGAAGGGGATGATGAAGATATTGGGAATTGTATAAGGAATGGCCAAAAAGTATCCTCTTAGCTTTGGTCGGTATGGAAATCCCAAGAAATCAGGAGGGGGCCTAACTTCTCAACTTCAAAATAAATGTCATGTTGGTACTGCTGTATGCTTGTGAGACTTGGAAAGTTAGCAAGCAGGTAACCAAGAGGCTACAGATATTCATCAATAGATTTCTGCAAAATATATTGTGAGTATGGTGGCCTGAAACAATTTCTAATGCCTTGCTGTGGTCGCGAACTAACCAAGCCCCGATAGATCAAGTCATTAAACGTTGCAAATGGAGGTGGCTTGGGCACACACTTAGAGGGCAATACAGCGATATAACACGACAGAGTCTGGAGTTAAACCCCAAGGCCAGCGAAGACATTGATGGCCTAAAGAACCATAGAGGGGGACTCTAGATAAGGAAATGCATAGCACCGGACAGACCTGGTCTGGAGTCAAGGTTCTGGCTAAAGATGGAGATGCCTGGTAGAACTTTGTAGCAGCCCTATGTCCCACCTAAAGGATTCTAGGAACTAATTATAATAATAATAATAATAATTGATCAATGGGCTTTTCTAGGTGATTATGTGCATTGAGGACTAGTTAAAAGTAAAATAAAAACATTTTTTGAAATAATCAGATTGAGCTGGATTTAAAATCAATCACCTAATTTCTTAAAGAAATTAATGATTATTAAATGCCATATGAATAAACAGTTTATTATAAACAGTTAACTCAAAAAAACAACAACACTTTGATTCCATTTTAAAAAATGACAAAACATTATACAGGACCAAATAATTAAAAACATACAACACTGAAACAAATAATCTGTACAAAGATATAATTATTTGTTGAAATTATAAAATAGAAACTTGAAAACTCACTTTGATTTTCATTTATAGTAAAACTAAAACATTACAAATTTTATGATACAAAAAAAATCTCTAAGAATACATTTGCAGACCAATTTTTGAAAATTTAAACCCTACAAGAAATAGCTGGTTCGAAAGATATTCTATAATTGATATTCTAACGTGATACAAGTTTTTATTTCACTTCTATTGGCCTTAGACTCATATCATTTCATTTATGTTATGAAATACTGCAATGAACACAACAGAAAAATGCTGTACATAAATACTTTATATTTATTAAGAGAAATTTAAGTGACCCATTTTTTTAAAAATATATATATTTTTATACATTTAATATATTAAAGTAAAATATATTTTGCTTGAAATAAAACACAAAAAGGCACATATCCAAGTTAGGAAATTTTTCACTAAGGAGAAAAAATTAATATTGTAATAGCAGCTAAACAATGATCACAACTTATCCTTGCAAGAATAGCAATCTGTAAAATCAATTTAGGTAAGAATTAATTGGAGGGTTTGATTCAGTTCACCAAAATGAAATTAAAAACTTGAAAAATTACTTGATTTATTTTATGGATATGTGCCCTTTTGAAATGTCACATTTTTTATACCCCTCAGTAAATAGTTTGTTTGACTACAGGTTTAAGCAAACTAAATATTTGATGAGGTTAACATATTTATCATTAACAAGAGATAAATTGTAAGCCATTTATTTAATTAATTTTTATTCAATATAAAAAATGTTACAACACATTGTGGGAAAATAAATACTTTAAATTATTAATTTTTCATAACTTATGAGATGTTTACTCAATTTTTGTAACAAAAAATTAAAGGACCCCTGTAATAGCATAAAGACCTAAAAAAATAAACTATCAATCAATGTTATGCCATTAGCATGCTATAAAATTTGTTAAGTTCATGCTAAATGAAATCAAAATACAATACCAGAAGCTCTGTTCTTCTGTTCAGTGTTTAGCATCAGGTTTGCTGTTGCACTGATAATTCTTTCAGGTTCTTTCAAACTTCTTGTTCCATTAGTTGTTTCTGCTTTCATTTGAGCCAATGTTTTCATCTGTTCATCATAAGATACTTGAAAATGTCTAACTTCAAAAGAAGGAAATACTCCTGAAGAATTAGTTTGTGTTTCACATTCAATAGTTTCTGCAAGATCTGTCTCTGTCTCAGTTGTTTCTGTCTCTTTTGAAAAACAACCAGAAGAAGCAGATGCTGTCAATCTTTTAACCAGATCATCAATAATATTTTCTAGTCTGTCAATTTTTTCTGTTATTTTGCCTACTACTTCTACTACTTGCTCCACCTTTTCATCAGGTTCTTGAATATATTGTATGGTTTCTTTAACAGATTTTATTTCATGAACCATCTTCTCAACAAGTTTTGTTTCTTCTCGAATCTGAGCTACACTTGATGAAAAACCAGCTAACTCTTCTTCATCATCCCTCCTCAAATCAACAACGGTATCAGCTTCAGAGTTTAATGACAGTTCTGGACTCACAGTCAAGTTAATATCTAAGTAAGCATTGAATGTTAAAAGCATTATTAATAAATAAAACAAAGTAAAATATAACAAGAAGCATTAAAAATCAACTTTTAAGCGTAAATTTATATAAAAATAAAAATTAGAAACATGCAGGTTAATAAGCATTAAGCATACCATCAGTTGAGTCCCCTGATTTAGTTGCTGATGAAGATAAATACACATATTTATTTCCTGAAAGTGATCAAATCTCTAAAAAGTCTTATGTCAAGAGAAGTTAGTCTAATTGAACTTCTAGCAAAAAGGTTAAATAAACATACCAATAAGCCATTTATATTTGTTTGTTTTTATATGATTAAATATCATTAATTAAGCTACCAAATTACATCAATTTTAATACCAAGAAAGTCAAATTAGTTAATTTATGTTAAAAAAATAATCAAATAAAGTAACCAACTTTATGAGATATCTATTTCTTGGGACAACAAACTAATCTTGGAAAACCTTATTCGCTACTTCCCAAAAATGTTACATTAAATAATATATTTTCTATTTAAACTTTTAGTCTACTTCAAATACATGAATATAAAAACAATTAGAAAAGGAAAGAAAAAGAGACAAAAAAGATATAAGTGATTTATATATATATATATATATATATATATATATATAAAATCTTTTGTCTTTGCTTTTCCTAGTGGTTTTTATTCAGTTGTTTACAAACACTTATTTTTGTCTGATTTTAAGTACTTTAACTTAAAATTTCAAGACACTCACCAAGAACATTGAGTTGAGCTGATGTCTCAACAGTGCCACGCTTGTTGGTCGCTTTAAGGATGTATTTACCCGCATCAATAGGTTTCACATCCCTCAAAGTGAGAGTGTAAGTATCACCACTAACTTCAGTTCCTTTCACAGGATTTCCATCTTTTAACCAAGTTACCTTGGGAGATGGTGACCCAGTAACTGTGGTACTCAGAATGATTCCTTCTCCCTCAGTTGCTGAAACATCCCTTAAAGGCTCTACAATAAAAGGACCCTCCTCACCCTTTGGTTTCAACTAGAAAAAAATGTACCAATTTTGGTTAAATACAAACCAATGATAGTTAATAATAGAATTAAAAAAATTACTGTTACTTAACCAAAGATCGTCGAATGAAAAACAATTAATAAATTATGTAGCAGAACAGATTATTAGTTAAATGAGAAGTAAATACATATATATAAATATATAACAGAACACTTCACTAATACAATAATGCTACAGAATATTATTGAATTTATATCATTTATTTAAATTTAATTTATTTTATCAACTTTCTTTTTTTTAACAATTTATTTAAAGGAGAACTAAAATTCCATTAATTTAGCAATAAGGGCAATAAGTATACATGCCAAATTTATTTTTTTAAATATTATTTTGTTTACACTTTTTTTAATCCTATATACTTGATGAATTTGGTATTCTTTTTTGATTAAAAATATCCATATTAATGTTTAATTCCATTCAGATTAGCTTTTTTGGGATACAAATAAAAAAAAAGAGTTGAAAAACTGGTTGGAGGGAGAGGGGCCACTCCTCTCCCCAAAAAACCTCAGGAGTTTATATTTTGTATAAAAGTTATGAGTAATAATTAAAATAATCAACGTAATTATAATAATACAATACAATAATAATTATTGTTAAATGAACAATATAATATTATTATTATTTTTTTTTTATTTGGGTTTTTCTACAACTTAAGGAGTCATATCCTCAACACCCAAAATCAACTGCTCCCTGTCCATCCAATCTCCTTCACGGAGCCCTCTGGCTACCATGCTTTCCTCCACGTCCTCTATCCATTTCTTCTTTGCCTTCCACGCTTCCTTCTTTCAGATGGCATATAGTTATAACTTTTCTTTGGGCAGCGGTTCTCATCCATCCGATTAAGTGGCTATACCACTTTAACCATTTGGTCCTGATCAGGTGAAGGATGTTCTTTTTACATCCGACCTTTTCTCTAATTGCTGCGTTTGGGATCCGCTTGATTCTAGATATGCCACAGCTCCTTCTCCAGAAATCCATTTCCATGGAAAGCAACCTATTTTCCGCCTTTTTTGCAATTGTCCAAACTTCTGATGCATAGGTGGTTACACTTTCTATAAAGGATTGGTAGATCTTCTTTTTAGTTTCCAATCTTATTTCATTACTCCATAGGGTTGAATTTATCGAACTTATTATTCTTTTCCCATTGTTTATTTTATGTTCGATGTCAACCTCACTACCTCCCTTTGAAGATAGCCAATATCCAAGGTACTTGAACAGTAGGCTGACATTGAGCGTCCAGTCATCAATTTCAAGGTATATGTCATATATATGCACATTATATTAATAATATACATATATATTAGTTTTTTTGTCTTTGGGTATATTTGAAAATACTAAAACCAAATTATTGAATATATTACATATTTTTATTTTTATTTAAAGGTGTGAGGTAGAGAGATGAACTCTAGTCGATGCTATTCAAACTAAAATTTCAATAGTAACATAATGTGGCAAAATACTTACGTACCTACTTCTAGCCCTTAACTTAGCTATCTAGTCGACTTTTCTTAAATGATTTTAGTTTACGTTTTCTATTCATTTATGTATATTAATTTTAATTTTTTTACTTCGAAATATTGGAGGAGCGAAACGATATTATTGACAATTTGATTGGGTTCTCGAAGAATTCTGCGTCTGTGATTCCATCAAGATGAGGATAACAACATTATCTTGTAAAGTCACATTCATACTAAATCATTTCTTGAATACTATTAGTGATTGAAGAATGACTAAGTATATTCTTTTTATTCCCAAATCATTTTGTTCAATGTATAGAGGGGGTTTTAATAAAAAAAAAAAAACCTAATAATTAATGATTACTTAATAAATAATAATTACATATAAATTTTAATAAAAAATTAAAATTAACTTTTCAAAACCGAAAAATCATGAATTCAAATCCTGTTCGCGAGAACAAAAAGGTAAAAATTAATTATAAATAAATTAAAAAAAAATAATTAAAATAAATAAGTGCCGGCACTATTTTGATTACTTAGACCATAATGGGATTCGATTCTCGCATGGAGACAGTAACGTCCCCACCCAAATATTTACAGGAAGGTGAACGATCCCTGTGTCTAACACCAAAGCTCCTGGTCTTCCAGGTTGGAAGTTGTGCATATGGCTAATAACCCTACTCCATAAAAAAAATTTAATTATTAGCAAACCAAGTCTTGAAAAATCGACTATCTATACATGGTAATGACCCTCAGCTTTGAACAACGCTATGATAAAACCAGTTCTAATATGTGGTTGTAAGAACTAGACAATAACCAGCGCCCTAAAAAAAAGTATTGTAAGATTTGAGAGAAAAATCCTCAGCATGATAATGATAACCAGAATGATCTGGGATCAGAGTACTAACACATGGAGAAGAAAGACCAATAAAGAGCTGCTTACAGAAACTGGTCAAACAATATCTCATGATATGAAGGCAAGGAGATTAATATGGATAGGACATGTTGCTCGGAGCAATCCATTAGGGAGCCTCTATATCACTATGAATACCTTAATAGGAGGAAAAAGACGAGTGGAAGGCCAAAAACCAGATGGATAGATCGAATCAACTAAGATGATATAGAGCTGCATACAGATAATGGAAAGAAATAGTGCAAGATAGACAGAGATGGAGTAGGCTTGTTAAGGCAGCAGAGGATCTACATGGTCTGTAATACCAAAAGAAAAAATATATTCATTTAGGTTATTTTATTTTGTTGTTGTACTTAAGTCTTATATTGCTGTTACTTAATTTTTTTTGTTTTTATATTTTCTGTAAATATGGTGTGGATGTACTCTCTGATATCTATTATGATTGGATTTAGTTGAGAATTGATATTTCTCAATAAACAAGGTTAAAAAATACAAAAAAAAAGTAAATAATTAAATATTATATTGATATATCAAAAGTCATTTTATTTTTATGTGTTACTTAAATTTAAATTTACATTGATCTACTAATATTACACCGAGTTAAAATTCCTAACGGGTACTGGGATTTGAACTCGTAATATTTTTCTAAATTCGGTTATCAGGTTGCTGGGCCAGGCACGGTACTGTGCAAATAATAATTGTGATCTCCAGCAATGGCCTGATACCGGTGTCTACGGTGGAAGCTACTGACAGGCTGAGCCTCCCAACTCATGTAATAAAAGAAGCTTTCTCAACATTCAATAGAAATTAAAATAAAACATACATGAGATGGTTGGAGGTGATTATCTCACTCTCAAGGTAAACAAAAAATCTTTTGTAAAAGCGTTGAAAAATAAATAATAATAAATATAAATTTTTATAATTTAAAATCTTTTGTTTGACACATTTTTCCTTAAGCAGGCTTATATGTAAGGTGTAAGATCGTCAATAGAATGTATAAAATTAAAATAAAATGAAATGCCGGCCGTACTTGATTGATATAATGTAAAATGATCAATTGTGTAAACTATACTTCTAAAAAAAACTACATTTATAAAAATAATATACTTTACCTTGAGAGTAATATCCAGTGAAGCTTCACCTTCTCTATTTTTTGCTACAACGGTATAAGTACCCTCTTCCTCTTGAGTGATATTTTTGAGTGAGAGGATACTGCTGTACATGTGCATATCTGAGGAAGTAATAATTGTTTTATTCTGATCAATAGTGATTTGTTTTCCTTTAAATGACCATATTATGTCTGGTTCTGGTACAGCAACCAAGCGAACCTCTAGTTCAACATTTGAACCAACAGGAGCAACTTTTGCCTTAGGCTTCTTAGAAAATGTTGGAGGGATCCCTTCTAAGATATCAGCAAGAGATGATTCCCTAAAATAAATAAATTGTACTTATTTATTAATGACAATGAAAATATTTGAGATTGTATAATTTTTTTTATTATATTAATATAAGAAAAATTGCCTCGATAAACTTCTACGAGATAAGCCACCAGTTTCTGATCCATGATCGGAAAGTGGCGTTTCTACAACTAGTTCAGTAGTACTAGAAGCAAATCCTGCTGCATTTTTTGCAACACATGTAAATGTTCCAGCATCTTCAGGGAATACTTCACTGATAATCAAAGTAGCTACATTGTCATCATCATAGAAAATCTGCAAAAAAAAAAATTAAAAATAGGAAAATAAATGGCGATGATAAAGAAATTATATAATAAATCAATCTAAATTTGGTACCTGGAAGTCATGCGATGGTTTAATAATAGCAGTCTGCCTAAACCATGTGATTTGAGGGCGTGGATTTCCTACAACCTTACATTCAAATTGGACAGTTGCACCATCAGGTACATGTTTAGGTTGCAATTTTTCTACAAATTTGGGAGCATTGACTTCAGTGCCTGGTCCAGGTTCTGTAAAAGAGTCACAAAATTCAACTTGTATATCATTGTGCAGTTGGAAATATAGTAATAACATTTATTATACAGTTTGTAATGAATAACTTCCAGGTTTCATTCATATTTAACAAAAAATAGTAGAAGTAAGGTCATTTATTTTTCATTCTAAATATAACAACTATACATTTCATATGCATCATTAAATTTAATTAAAAATAAATAATGCCAACAAATTCATTGTAACAAAATACTGATTAGGAAATTTTAAAGATGCTATTAATGGGCAATAAAATGACTATATTAAGAAATCTCTTCTGTGACAGATATTTTTCTAAAGTCAACTGGCCATGGATGCCAGGATTAAAAATAAGAATTTCAATAAAGTTTAGTTTCGATTTTTAATGAGTGAGTAAATGTAAATGTGGCCCAAGCAATAATGGTATAAGTCACATAGGGGTGCATTTTAAGGCCTTAGTTGTCCAGCCACAAATACTATTTATAAAGGAGTTGTTGCAGATATCCTTAAGTGTCTCCCTGTGGATTCCAGAATCACACATTGAGACACAGAAATAGGCTGGCATCAACATCGAGGATGGGTCAGCTTTGCGTCAACAGATCAAATACATCAACTTCACATGATGTGTTATTTAACGTGCCTCTCAAGATCCCCCTGCGAGAAGAAGTGACATGATCAAAAATACTTGAAGACACTGACCCTGATTCGTCTTTTTCTTTCTATTTCTCTTTTTTCCTCTTAGTGTAGAGGAGGCTGTCTCCACTGGAACCAGTCCTCTCAGTTTTGTGCCATCATCTTCAGTTCTCTGATAGTTTTTAATCCTTTTTCAATATCCAACCTGTAATTTATTCTTTGTATAATAACCTGGGTTTGCCTTTGCTTCTTTAATCAGTCAACTGAGCTTCCATTATTCTTGGATATCAATTCTCATGCATCTTGCCTAGATGTCAGAAGTGCTTTAGTTGTCTTCAATGGAAGATATGCCCAACTGCTCCTTTGTCGTCTTATTTATTATGTGGTCTCTTTGCGTGTTGGCTACCATTTGACAGACAATTCTTTTCTTTCACAATTCTGTTCCACTAACAGGTAGGCGAGAGTGGAGTTGGGAAGGAGAGGCTAAGTGACCACAATTGGCCATATGTGACATATCACTAGCTCTAAGATTTCAATAGAGAATAGCCTGAAAACATACTTCCCCGCCGAAAAATCATGGTAATATATAAAACGGGTCCTTTTGGACTAGTGAGTTCCTCACAGGGTATGTTGATTTTCGAGCCAAGCTACTTTGCCTTTCCAAGCCTTGGTCAGGATATAAATCCCTTATTTCCCACTTGTGGAGTTCTGAAGACAATGGAGGATATGGTAATGACCTGTATTATATTCGATGGATTACTACAATAAAAACCACAGGAGTTTACATCCTTACTAAGGAGAAGTTTTCTTGGTTGGTCAGTGAGGAGAAAAAATCGTGTAGTTCAAGGAATTCATATATGCTGGAAGAGAGTTTTGGGCTAAGCACACCGGGAAGACTACCCCTCACTATAGAACACAGACATTTAAGAAAAAATTGAAATTTTTCGGAAGTGTGCTGCAATATTAACTGTTTATTTGCAGGAGAGGTTTTGTTATAAAGTCAAGGCAAGATAGTGTAGCAAATAAATATGTGTTTTGTTCTTGCTTTGTGTGATTGTCACCTGGTGATTCTTCTATTATCATATGAATGAATTAAAACTACACCTTTACTATCATATGGATCATAATTCTTGCAGTTTTATATTGATTGAAAACAAAAATTGAAAGCTACTGTTCTGAAGATATCATAAATTGGCTATAAATACTGAAAGATAAATATTTATTCACTTAGGTATTAATACTTTAAATCTCGTTTGATGCTGAAATTGAAATTAGTTCATATTCAGAGAATATATTGCTATAGACAATTAAATATGCTGATTTATATTTATAATTACTTTAAATGTTTGAATAGAGAAATGCTTATCATTTTAGTATAACCTTTCTTAAGGAAACTAGCTGTCAGAACAAACTAGCTTCCTAAATTATTTTGTTTATTTAATCATATTGCATTTGTAGATTTAGATTTTCAAGATTGTGGAATCTTGATTTACCTGATTTCCTGTTATCAACTAATCAGATGATATCTAAGTCATCCCTTTTATAACCTGAATTGTTGTTTACCTTGTAATAAACAGGATGAAACATATTGCACATTGGGATGAATGTAAGTTTATTACAAATGAATGACATGTATCTAAATTAGATATTGAATTTTTTTAAAATTTATTCATGAGATTTACAACTGTATAAATTTCAAAATACATCCAGTAAATTTACAAACGGTAATATTAAAATCACATGAAAACGCTTGTTGAGAAACTACCCACTGGTAGCACTCTAATAATATATTTGCATATGTAGATCATGAGACCATCTTCTTTTCAGACGCCTTGGAGAGTTATCAGGTATCGAAGAGGAAGCAAGATTTGAAACGAGAGGGTTTGGATGGTTTTGAAGTTTGTTATGGTATCGGTCCTAATAGTCCTAGGTATCGGATTTGTTCAACGGGAATAAGTGGGGAATTGTTAAAGGATACTGTAGGACAGGAAGTCATAGGTTTACGTCAAAGAGTGAAGGTAATTTGATGGGATTTATTTTAATTCTCTAGTTTTGACACCATTCTTCAAGGTTTGTGTATGTGATTAAAGAGTTTGGGATGCAATTGATGGATCATTATTAACTGATAGGATACATGTGTCATCAGCATATGTGGTGATGATAGAGTTGGGATGGGTTGGGATGTCAGCTGTATATACTGTGTAAAGGATGGGACCTAGGAGACTACCTTGAGGAACACCAGCAGGCTGGGAGTAAAAGGATGAATAGGTATTGTTATGACTTACTTTGAAGTATCTATCAGTAAGGTAGGGATGGATAATGAGGAAGTATGTAGGCGGTAGGAATTTATGGAGTTTGTACATCAATCCAGGATGCCAGACTCTATCAAATGCCTGCTCAACGTCGAGTAAGACTCCCCTGCAGTACATTCTGCACTCCAATGCAGAAGAGACTACGTCTACCACACGATGACATTAATGGGTCGTGGAATGGGATGTGCGGAATCCAAATTGGTGATCTGGGATAATGTGGTTAGAATCAAGGATGGGATACAGGCGTTTTAAGATGAGTTTTTCCAGGATTTTGCCCACGATGGGTAAAAGAGAGATAGAACAGTAAGAGGACGGGTATTCTGGTGGCTTTTTAGGTTTGGGTATCATTTCGACAATGGACAATTTCCATGGGTCAGGAAAATATGTGGTACGATATATTAAAATTAATCCCACATTATATCATCAAATTATAATTAACTATGATATAATTAATTCCCATCTCTTATAATCAATAGTAAACTCAGAAACACACAATATGTGTTTAAATATTATTCAATTTTATCTTTGATTGTAATTTGCTACTAAATCAAATATGAATAGTATAATTATGTTTCTCGTTTTTCTATTAAACAAGATCATAGAACGCAATTATATTTATGCATGTGAAAAACTTCTAATTTGGTATTAACAATTGTTGTAACAAATCTTACTTTCAAAGATAGGTAGTTTATCTATTTTTTCATGCAGTTTTTTCTGAACATAAAGTGTGTAAGAAGGTTCATCTCTTAAATAAACTGCTGGAACCCATCCTTTTTCCTCAGTCAGGTGTTTCTTCACAAACCACCAGTCTGAATTAGTACTTTCTGAAACAGAAGTTTTATAAACGCATACATAGTTAATTTTAAAGTTAACACTTAATTTGAAAACAATAGAGATCATAAAGAAATAAAATTTATATTATAGTTACCTATAATATAAACTCTCTCTCCTTCAACTAAATTGAGGGCATCATCTGTTTCTGCTGTGTAAGAACAGATTGAGAAAAGAAGCTGACCTCCTTCTGTTTTTGTCTCACCTTTAAATAACAATACATATTGAATTGGATAAGTGCTTATATGTTAAAAGAAATCATAAGAAACTTTTTATACTTACTTTCTCCAAACTCTTCAACAAGTTTTGTAATTTGTAAAGATGCACCTTCTGAAATCAATTAATAATTTTACTCTTATCATTTCTCCATTTTTATTTTTATGTATATATTTTTAATAAAAAATGACTGACTTAAGTTTTTTAACTTCAGAACTACTAAAAATCTCAACAACAAAACATAAAAATAATAGAGCCTATTATACATAAAAAATGAGTACTTTTTTGAAAAACTAAGAAGTATGAACATACTCATATAAGGTACAGTTAAAAAATAGATGGTTTAATATGTGGTTAAAATGATTAATTTGGTAATAGTGCAATAATAATCATGCTTTTCACAAAACATACAAATAATAAATAGATGTTATTATACTTACAGCTCTAAAGAAGCATTAGATTTTAATTAAGCTTGAAGTAGTATGATGGCACACTCCAAACAAAATAATATTTATGAATAAAACAAATAAATTAAATAAGCTATTAGTTCATTAAGTTATAATTATTTTAAGCTAAAACTAATATTACAGTAAGTAAGTTAATAATGAATACAAGTTTTGCATTTAGAATTTTTTTCACATTTTGTAAATTATTATATATTTTTATATTATAATGTTATTATTATAACAAATTTTGGACCGTCTTGGCAGATTTTAATTGAACTAGTTTTACATTTTAATCATTGGCAGACTAGTAATTCTGTATAAGTAAATTGATTGTCTCAATTTCCGATAGGTAGAATCATCCTTTTGAAAATGTAAGAGAAAAGGTACACAAGCTAGAAACAATTGATCCAATTTTGGTAGAGTATCTGGCAAAGGTTAAGCAGTTTATACAGTATTTAAATCATTTAAAAAAATCTATAATAGACATATTCAGGAAGAAGTCGGTTGGGGAAGAAACATTTTCAGAATTACATCAACAGTGCGATCATACGAACTTGTGCCCACTCACCACTACCAACACTTCTGAACTAGCAGCCTCTCCTTCTCATCTTATTCCTCTTCTTTTTTTTAGGAGAGGATGTTTATTTCTTATATATGATATTAGCTTATGACTATCATAACATCATATTTTTCTCTGTTTTAATAATATTCTTTATAAATATATATTCTCTATTTTATTTAATTTTTTTATTTTTACTAATGTAATGTTTTAAGTATTCTTTTATTCATCTCCCATCATTTTCGTTTTCTTGATTCATATATAATAATAATTTTAATATATTATAATGATTTTATACTTCAATGGTTACTATCTTGTTTTGCTTATTCTTAGTGAAGACCAAAAACTTAAGCAAAAATATCACCACAAATTAAAAATAAGTTTACGTATTTATGTGAGTTTTCTTCTGTGGTCGCACTCTCTGCAATTAATAGACATATGCTACATTCATTGTTTTAATACATTCACTACTATATTTTTAATAATTTGATGGATTTATTTGAAGTTTTATTTTTCTGTTAGCGTTACAGACGATGTAGATCTTTTGCCGCCTTAACAAGTCTGCTCCATCTCTGCATGTCTTGGGCTATTTCTTTCCATTTATCTGCACACAGCTCTGTTGCATCTTTGTTGATTCTATCTATCCATCTGCTTTTTGGCCTTCCATGTGATCTTTTGCCTTCTATTGAGGCATTCATTGTTATGTAGAGACTTCCAGATGGATTGCTGTGAGCTACATGCCCTGCCCATCTTAACCTCTGTGCCTTCATATCATGGGATATTGATTGATCAGTTTCTATAAGCAGTTCTTTGTTGGTATTTCTTCTCCATATGTTAATACTCTGATCCCAGATTGCTGCCCCAGAGTTATCCTGCAGAGGATTTTCTTCTCAAATCTTTCAACACTTTTCTAGAGTGCTGGTTAGTGTCCAGGTCTCACAGCCATATAATAGAACTGGCTTTATCATAACATTGTACACCCTTGGTTTGAGATTTCTGGAGATTTCAATACCTTTGAGAGGGAGAAGAAAGCTTTATTTGCGCTGGTTATACGCTGGTCCGAGGTATTTGAATTTTTCTACTCTCAGGAATGATTTTCCTTCTACGCTGATCCTGTTATTGGGGTGGAATTTTTGGCTTATTATCATATATTTTGTTTTTGTCTTCATTTACTTGTAGGCCGACCTGCTCTGCCTCTCTTATCAGTGTTGTAGCGAGTTTCTCAACGTCTTCTTGATTACTTCCAAGAACAGCTATATAATCTGCGTATCCAAGGATTTTATGATTCATTCCGAAGTGGACCCCTCCATTTTTCTGTGATATTACTCTAATTCTCCAGGGCTAAGTTAACAACATCGATGATAGTCCATCTTCCTGCTGTAAGCCCGTTCGAATTTCAAAGGCTTCAGATACTTCTTCATGTATTAAGACTCTACATTTGGGGTCATTTGTACAGGCCTTGATCAATCTCACCAACTTACTGGGAATTTCCAGTTCAGTCATGATTTTCCAAAGACAGCTCCTTTCCACAGAATCATAGGCTGCTTTGAAATCAACAAATAGGGCGTGGATGTCCTGAGCTACTCCCTATAGTTTTTCGAGAACTTGTTTAAGGATGAAGATCTGATCTAGTGTGCTCATCGCTTTTCTGAATCCAACTTGGTGGTCGCCTATTATATTCTCATAATACAGATATATCCGGTTTAGTAGGATATTGGTAATTAACTTGTAGGCAACTGGAAGGAGTGATATGCCTCTGTAATTACTACACTCATACATGGAGCCTTTCTTTAGGTTAGGACAGATTAGGCCCATATTCCAAGCCTCAAGTATCCTTTCCTCTTTTCATATTTTCTGGATTAGTTGTAGTAGCTTGGCTTTTAAGTCCTCTCCTCCATCTTTGAACAGTTCTGACGGTAGGTTGTCTATCCCCTGGGACCTTTCTTGTTTTGAGCCTTTTGATAGTTATTTCTACATCCATTATATCTGGTTTTTCAACCTCTTCTGGGTCAAGGTCCTCAGTGTGGTCCATGTCTTCTTCATTCGTGGGATACCCTGGATTGAGAAGTTTCTGGAGATGTTCTTTCCAGATGTTCAATATACTTTCTTTAGTATATTTGGGTATTTCTCGCTTTATATCCTACCCTTTCTTTCTTATTGTCTGCATAGAATTCGCGTACATCTCCAGTCTGCCAGTTATCCTCAATAGTTTGCAATCTTGGAATTGGAAAATATGTTTATGCTTGTATAATTAGCCAAAATTAGTTAACAGGATTCGACAAAATTGACCCTAGATCATTTTTTTTATTACTCTAACAGGGAGCCAAAGCAGATGAACCATTTCTAAATTTAGTCTTATCTACAAAAATACATTTTTGCATGTGTTAGGTAAAGTATAGCATGTAATTTTTTAATAAAAATATTGAATCACTGATGATCAACTATTTTCGAAATTAGTGCCAAATCGGAGGAGCCATTTTTGAAATATAGATCTATCAAAAAAATTAGTTTATGTACGCATAACCGAAATTAGTGAATATAATTGATATGAGACTCTCTAAACAAGCTGTATGAAACTGTACTAATGGTTTCATTTCTTTTAGAAGGATTTGACTAGAGTGACATACTTTTATTGTAATACGTTTTGTTGTTAATAAAACAAAATTACAAAATTGTAAACTATTTTAATTTATTTTTTAAGTTCAAAGTTCAATCATAAAGATAAGGTAAGCATGTTGGGTTAAATGCTATTTAGATCATTGAAATTCTGAAAATTTAAACTAGATTTCATGTATTACATACTCAGAATGATTGTTTCATGGAATTATTTTTTCCCTTGAAATTTCCATAATCAACATATTATTAACTTATCTTGAATGAAATATCGGTTTAGTAAATTTATAATTTTTCTAATAAAATATTTTAATATCACTAACACCTATGTTAATACTAAATTAAAGATTTTAAAATCATCTTATTTATTTTGTATGATTCAATAAAAATTTTGTCATATTTATTAAAATATTTATTTATATTTGTATAAAAGATATATATATATATATATTTAAAATTTTTATTATGATATTTACAAGTGTATTAGTATAAATACATCAAGTAAATGTGTACAGAGGAATATAATCATATATATAATGTATATATATAATGAACATATATAATGTATAAGGAATATAATGGTGAAAACGCTTGTTGAGAAACTACCCTATTGGTAGTACTCTAATATAAAAGATATGTTATGAAAGTTTAAAGTTGGGTATAAGTTATACACATCTTGGCAGTTGTGTTGCCAAATAGCTTATGAAAAAGGTATTATAAATAAAATTAGGTTTTGTGTGAGATATTGCTTTAGACAACTATGGTCAAAGAATAACTCAACTGTTTAAATCAACTTGAATATCTGAGAGGGTTGAGGTTAAAAATCTAGCTCCTACAAAGAGCTCAGAGTTGAGGATATAATATTTTGGCCTCCAATAGAATTTGGTAAGTCAAAGTAAATAAATTGTTGTCAAAAATGAGAAATCATTTAAGTCAAGAATAGTTCGATTTAGAGTTATTTTATAATCGCAAACAAGTAGTTGTTACCAGATTATTACAAAAGTTTTGCATGAACACAACCTTGATTTGGACTCAAAGAATTAATCCTATAAAAATGTTTTTATAGGATATTATGTCCTCCTATGTATTATATCCTTTCCTTTTTGTTCCTACTACCATGTCTGTGCTTATTTTAACTAATCCTTCAATTTCTTGTGTATTCCTTGAGTTGGCTTTATGGTGTCATTTACATTTTTAAAATGCACGTGCAATGTAAGAAGAAAAAATCTTGATTGGCAGTCTTTTGAGACATTACTGGAAAAAAGATCTAAGCACAAAATCACCTACCGAAGAAATTTGTGCCATAGAAGGGGAGTCGTTATCCATCGAAGCACTGCTGCATTTTGGTTCAGGCATTTTACCAATGGGAATATGAGCCTTACAGATAAAACCAGACAGGTCACCCATTGATAGTTGATGATGATCTTCTTGAATGTGTGAACCAGGAACCACATGCAACTAATCGTGATTTATCATTTATAGTAGGGGCTTCTAACACAACAGTGGATCGTCATCTTAAAACCTGGGCGTACGGAATTTAAGATTAAGGTCCAACCTATATAACTTGACAAAGGCCCAAGCCCAGCAGTAAGTTGATATTTGCAAAATTTTTCTTTAAACTCTGAAATATGATAGGTTCTGGAAAAAAATTATCACAAGTGGTGAAAAAGAGAGATGGAAAAATGCTACTTTGAAGACTTGGTACTAACCATTTTACTCAAATACTGACCTTCATTGAGTAACAAAGAATTTAATTACTACTGCAATTGATGCTATATGATTCACTGGAGTAGTGATTGAATTCCCAATGGTGTGTAAATAACATGTTAAACAGTTAATTGTAAATGTTCTTTTTGGCGGGAATTATGAATATTCTTTCCGCTTTAGTCAGGGAGTAGGTTATTTACACTCGTGAATATTAAAACAAAACCCCGGCACTAGATATAGACTTTTTGAGGGTGTTTAACTGTTGTTGGGAATTCGGGAACCTAATACCTTTGTGACACTGTGTGACAAGAAACAATAAGAATATATTTTTGAAATGTGGGACTTAGTAAATACACTTTGAATGAATTGACTCACCTGGTTTGTTATTCTTCCATTGTGAGGCCTATAGGACAACTAAATAAATAAATGACTTTTCACTCCTATCTAACAAAACTATTTATTTTACAACTGTAATAAGTGAATCTATTAAAGTCTTATAACTTTAGGCCTGATCTTCTTACTCTTCAGTGTACTGCCTCTCTCTTCTGACAACCTCGTTTCTTCCTGTCCAGGCCTAGAGTGAGTCCCGTCTCTCCAACCTTCTTCTCCAGCTGTTGCTACCTGCTCCGTCCTATTCCAATCTTCTTTCTTCATCGATTGTTTATCGATATGAGACTTTTCAATAAATAATTTGGCCACTGCACAATTGAGTACAATTCATTGTGCAACCTCACATTTCTATATATTCCTTCTTACTCCCTCACACAATGTCACATAAAGGAGTAAATACTGGAGAGTATCTACTACAGGTGATTCAATTTGAGTAAAATACTTGGTATTAGGTACTCAGAGTAGGATTTGCCCATCTCTGGTGAAAAGTGGATATTTTTAAAACACCCAAGCAATACCCCTGCACATCGCTGTCGTTGGACCAAGGAAAAATTATTAAAACTGGAAGCAGTAAAAATTTTGCGTCATCTTCCGTATAATCCAGATATTGTACCATCAGATAATGGTGTTTAGAACGATGGCTCATTTTTTAAAAGGTTGGATCTTTGACAATTACGAGGAGATAAAAATTGGATGTGAAGAATTCTTTGCCTCAAAACTATAGGAGTGGTACTGACATCAAATCCAATTACTGGCTAAAAGATGAATGAAAGTAATTGAAAACAATGGACAATATACTTGAAGAGTAATATTCAATAAAGTTTAAAATATGTAAAATGAAATAAAGCTATACTTATTCACAAGGACCTTTGTAACAACCTAGTAAATTTTCTACTTTAAATAGAAATAGATAGAAAATGATTTGTTTACTATAACCTATAACTTAAAAAAAAACTTCTGTAAAGTTGAGATTTGACTGTTAAATAGTTTATTACTTTTGCTTGTTTCGTTTACAAGACTTATTATTTTACTTTATTGGTTTTCCTCCTTTGAAAAGATTTGTTAGAAATTGAAATAATTTTTAACAAATATATACCATGATGGTGTGCTACTGTTGAAAATATGTTCCTTGAATTTATTTATTCTCAAATTCAAAACTTTGTGACGAAAGAATTTTATAGTATTAAAAATAAAATAGAATATATTTTAACTATAGATTTAAAAAACGAAAACTTTGTCATTAAAGTTAAAGCCGATAGATTATTTTATAGAAATTAATAATTTTCAGAATTTTATTTTAGATTTTAGTTAGAAAATATAAATCCTTTAAATATATTTATAATAAATTTTAAAGAAGCCAAAATTGAGTAAATTAGCATTCATTAAGTTTTTAAGATATATTCATGAATAATTTACCTTGATGAAATGAGGTAATAGATGGTTTCGATGGTTTTCTCTTCACTTTAAGTTCGAGAGACTCCTCCTCATATACTACACTGGCACTCCTTGGCTTTGCACTCCTCAAACCAAGCTGTATTTCTTCTTCTACTTCTTCAACATTATAAGGAGTAGTTGATGATTTTCTACGAAGAGGAAATTTTACTTGTTCTGGGCTTTCTTCAATCTCTTCTTTGATGTAAATGGTCTCCGAGTCAGCTTCTTCCGAGAATTTCACAGGTTTCTTTTTTCTTGGCAGTTTTACTTTACCTGTCATTTCTACTTCTTCTTCTTCATAAGTTCCAGTTTTTATTTTGAATTCCTGCTCAACCTCTTCTGTTTTAGTAATTTTAGGCTTTGGTCTTTTTAAGCCAACTTGAACATTTTCTTCTTCTATTTCTTCTACTGTGTATGGTGCAGTAGAAGATTTTCTTCTTAATGGTATACCAACAGTTTGTGGGGTTTCTTCCACAGGTTCTTCTATATATATTGTTTTGCTACTTGCTTCTTCTGAGAAAGAAGGTTTCTTTTTCTTTGGCAGTTTTACTTTACCTGTCATTTCTACTTCTTCTTCTTCATAAGTTCCTGTTTTTATTTTGAATTCTGTCTCTACCTCTTCTATCTGAGTGACCTTAGGTTTTGGTCTTTTTAAACCAACCTGAACATTTTCTTCTTCAATTTCTTCTACTGTGTATGGTGTAGTAGAAGATTTTCTTCTTAATGGTAGACCAACAGTTTGTGGTGTTTCTTCCACAGGTTCTTCAATGTATATAGTTTCACTACTTGCTTCTTCTGCGAAAGAAGGTTTCTTCTTCTTTGGTAGTTTTACTTTACCTGTCATCGCTATTTCTTCTTCTTCATAAGTTCCTGTTTTTATTTTGAATTCCGTCTCAATCTCTTCTATCTGAGAAACCTTTGGTTTTGGTCTTTTTAAACCAACTTGAACATTTTCTTCTTCAACTTCTTCCACTGTGTAAGGAACTGTAGAAGATTTCCTCCTTAATGGTATACCGACAGTCTGCGGGGCTTCTTCCACAGGTTCTTCTACATATATTGTTTTGCTACTTGCTTCTTCTGAGAAAGAAGGTTTCTTTTTCTTTGGCAGTTTAACTTTACCTGTCATTTCTACTTCTTCTTCTTCATAAGTTCCTGTTTTTATTTTGAATTCTGTCTCTACCTCTTCTATCTGAGTAACCTTAGGTTTTGGCCTTTTTAAACCAACTTGAACATTTTCTTCTTCAACTTCTTCCACTGTGTAAGGAACTGTAGAAGATTTCCTCCTTAATGGTATACCGACAGTCTGCGGAGCTTCTTCCACAGGTTCTTCTATATATATTGTTTCACTACTTGCTTCTTCTGAGAATGAAGGCTTCTTCTTTTTTGGCAGCTTGACTTTCCCTGTCATCGCTACTTCTTCTTCTTCATAAGTTCCCATTTTTATTTTAAATTCTTGTTCTACTTCTTCCTTTTTCTGGACTTTTTTAGGAACAAATGTAACTTCTTCCACAGGTTCTTCTTTTGGTATAGATTCCCTTTTCTTAATTGTAATTTGACTAACATCTTCGTCCACTGGTTTCTTCATTTTTTTCTTTTTTGTAAGTGTTGTTTCAGGTTTATCTTGTACTAAAATTTTTAGTATTGGACCTTCTGTTTCTGTTACTGTTGGAGATGTAACTGAAACAGTTTCAGGTTTTTCTTCTATAACTATCTCCTTTCTTATAGTTAAATCTGCAGCTGCTTCTTCAACATCAGTTGGCTTCTTGGGTTTTATTTTTTTAATTATTGTTTCTTCTTCAACTAATGTTTCAGAGGGCTTTTTGGTAGTTTTTAGATTAAACTCCTCGTTAATTTCTTCGAGGGACGGTTTTCTAGGTTTTTTTATCAGTGTTATAACTGTATCTTCTTCTGCTTCTTCAGCTGGTTTTTTAAGAGGTTGCTTCAAAGTTATCTCTGTCGATGTTTCCTCCCTTTCTTTAGGTTCTTTCTTGGGAAGCACAACATTTTCTTCAGAATCAGTAAAAACTGGTTCATGAACTTTTGAGACTGGTTTCAATTTTATTATTTCTTCAATTTGAGCAGCTGGCTCTTGAGGTTGAGGCTTCTTAAGTGTAATCTGAGGTTGCTCCTCTTCTGGTTTTGGTTTTCCTACTCCAGGAATCAATTTTCCACTTTCATCTGGCTTCTTTTCAATTTTTTTCTTTTCTTTGGTTGATCTTCTTTTCTCTTGTTCAGGCTTTTCATTTATTGGTTCGGTTATTTTTTCTGGAGTTTCCTTTATATGAGTTACACTGTCTGATTCAGGAACAGATATTGGCGAGAGGTCTTTTTCAGGTTCTTCAGGTTTATGGCTCACCTTGTCCTCTTTCTTTATATCATCCACAATCTTTTGGTCCGTAATCTCCTCCTCTTTTTCTTCTGGTTTAGAGGGTATTTTCTTCAGCTTGACTGTTTCTAAAATAGGTTCTTCTTGTTTAAGTTTACCTTTCCCTAATTTTATCTGTACGGTTTCTTCATCAACTGGTTTGGGGATTTCAGGCCTCTCCCTAGGTTTGACAACTTTTTCTGCTATGGGTTCATCTTTGATTTTTTCATCAACAAATGGTTCATACTTTTCCAATACAGTCTCTTCTGTTTCAGGTAATTTTATTTTCTTAACTTTCTTTTTCTTTACTTTCAAAGCTTCTTCATAATTTCTTGAGAGAACTCCTGCATCGAGAACGGCTTTTGGAAGTTCAGAAACAGTAAGTTTATATTCTTGCGGAGGATATGGTATCCTTTTGATACGACTTTTCAACAAAGGCTTTTTAATTATCTCAACAGGTTTTGCTTCTGGCTTTGGTATAACAGATGCTTTCCGTAGCTTAACAGTTGTAAACAATGGTTGCTCTGGTTCCATTTGTTGCATATTAAGTTTAGTTGGTTTAACTTCTGTTCTTTCAATTTTTTGAGGAACCAATTTAGCTTTTTCAGGTTTTGTGATTGATGGTTCTTTCTTATCTGCAGGCACTAAAGATTTCTTTTTTATTTGTGTTGCTGGTGTTTCATCAGGTACATCTTCAGGCAATTCCTCCTGTTTTGGAATTTCTTCATCTTTTTTATGTTCATCTTCTTGATCCTTTACTATTACTGGCTTTTTCTTAATGGATTTCTTTTTTAACGGAAGTTTTTCTGTTTCTTCGGGTTTGTCACTACTTTCAACAGTTTCTTTGAATTCTATATCCTTATCGGGTTTTTCTTCTTCTTTCTTTTCCTTAGTTATTGGTTTGAGTTTTATCTCTTCTGTTTCTGGCTCAGGTTTGTCTGATATCGGTTTCCTAAACGTTATTTCTTCTTCTGGAACAGATGGCTTTTTCTTAGGTTTTCCAAGAACCAATTTATTTTCAGGAGCCTCGTCATCAGGTTTTGTTGGTTTTTCTTTGATTTTCTTTACAGTCTGTTTTTTTACTGGTGTTTCTTCAGGCTTTTCTGTTTCTTGAGGTTTATCTGGTTTATCTTGTTCTTCCTCAGGAAATTCAAGAATATCAATTGGTTTTAGTTCTACTTCAGGATATTCTCTAACCTTTTTATCTTTGCTATCGATTTCATCTTCTGGTTTCTTGGTAACCTCAGTTACACCAATTTCTTCTTTTGGTTCTTTGGAAACTTTTCTCAATTTGACGTCATCTGTTGCAGTTTCTTCAACTGGAAGTTTCCCTTTCCCAATGATTATTTTTGTTGGTTCTTCTTCTTCTTTTTCAGGTTTCTCCTTAGGAACTGGAAGTTTAACAGCTTCTTCCTTCTCTTCTGGCTCTACTTTTTTCTCTTGATCCTCCCCAGGTTCATATATCTCCAGTTCTGGCTCTGTTTTTTTAGGCATTTTCTTTTTTAGTGATTTTCTTTTTGGTAGTTTTTCAGCTTCTTTGTAGTTTCGTGACAATATACCTTTTTCTAAGATTGGAGGAACGAGTTCAGTAACAGTCAAAAATAAAGCTTCTGGGGGATATGGAATCTTTTTAATTCTACTTTTAAGAAGTACTTTTGGCATTTCTTTTGGTTTCTCTTCTCGTTTTTCAGGAGCTTTGACCTTCTTTAGCTTTATAGAAAATGGCTCCTCAGGCTTGACATTTTCTATTTTCAACTTTTTGGGTTCAACTTTTTTCACTTCAATTTTTTCTATTTTCTTTAGTGCTAAAGGTTTTTCTTTTGGTTTATCCTCCTTTAAGCTTGGTTCTGCTGTAGTGACTTCTTCATCATTTGTATCCTCCGGAGATGATTTCTTTTTCTTTGTTTTCTTATCTTTATCTTTAAAGACTTTTGTTTCTAAAATAACTTCTTCATCCTTCGATTCAGAAGGAGAAGGCTTTCCCACAGTGATATCTTTAGCTGTTTCTTCTGGTTTTGGTTTTTCTTTATCAAAAGGTTTTAAATGAATTTTTTCAGGCTCTTCTGTGGGAAGGATTCCCTGTTTTTTCTTCAATTTTATTTCCTCTTCTGGTTCTGGGAAGGTTTCTTTCCTTTACCAAGAATTATTTTCTTTTCTTCTGGCACTTCTTCGGGAACTGTGGGTTTTGTTTTTGGTTTTTTAATTTTCTTAATTTTTTCTTTGGTATCTTCAGTTTCCTTTACCTCTGGCATTGAAATGTCTTCAATTTCTTCCGGAAAACCAGTTTCAATAGGTGGACTTGGTTTAAGTTCAAAATGATCACTTGTCTCCTCAGTAGTATGAGTTGATGGCTCCTGTTTCATCTTCTCAGTTTTAGTTGGTTTTTCTTCAACTATTTCTTGCTTTTTCAATGGTAACTTTTTAAGGACAACAGTTTCCTGTGGAACTTCTTCTATGGGTATTTCACCTTTCCCTTTTACTATAGATGGCTTTTCATCTTCTGATTCTGGTTTTAATTCTTTTGGTAACTTTTCATATTTGTCTTTTTCAGGTTTTTCCTCAGGCTTTTCTTTTTCTTTATCATCCCAAGGTGTATATTCTTCTGTTTCTGTTTTTTCTACTTCAGGTAGTTTCACCTTTTTGATTTTCTTTTTCTTTACTTTTAAAGCTTCCTCGTAATTTCTTGATAAAATACCATTGTCCAAAACAGGAGGTGATAGTTCAGTTACGATTAAGCGATGTAATTGAGGAGGATATTCATGCCTCTTTATTCTACTTTTCAAGCGTAATTTTGGGAATTGTTGAGTTTCAACTTCTTTCTTAGGAGTAATAGAAGCTTTCCTTAATTTAACAGTGGCGAACTGAGGAGTATCATCCTGTTTTTTTGAAATTTCTAATTTCTTGCTCTTAATTTC